AACCAACCGGGGCACATAGCCTGTGACTGTCCAAAGCCAAGACCTCGCCAGATCTGTGGGGCCCTCCAAGAAGAAGGCCCCAGAACCCCATCCCAGCTGGCCCCAGAGGACTTCGAGTGATCATTGACTCATTGAGAGGCCATCATGCAGTGGAGGCCCCTCCCCAGAACTGGAGGAAGCGGAAGAAGATCCAACAGGGGATTTTCTAGAGGGCGACCAGTGAAGAGTGTGCCCTGGTTGCCTGATGAGAGCAATGTACCCACCTGCAAATACCGCAGCTGCCCCAGATGGGCCATCCAATCTAAGCTGCTCTGGTAATTGCAAAAAAGAGAAAAGCCACACCAAGGAAGCCAGAAGGGGGTGAACCCCCGTGCAAGTTGCCATCCCAGCCCTGCAATTTATGTCCTGTCCAAGCACTCCCCCTGCTCACTCAACCTCTCAGTGGAACTGACATCCACCACTTCACTCTGCTCAGGGGCCACTGGAATGTTTATCGGATGCGACTTTGTCCAGAAGCACAACCTAGAGACGTCGCCTCTAGTGCAACCGGTCCCTGTCCATAATGTAGATGGAACCCTGAATGAGAACGGATCCATCACAGAGGAGGTAGAAGTGCTCCTCCGATTCGGCCGACACACAGAGCGGGCCCGGTTTGCAGTTGCTAACCTGGGCCACCAGACAGTGATAATTGGCCATTCGTGGCTCCTGCACCACAACCCAGAAGTAGACTGGGTCAAGCAGAGGGTCACCCTGTCCCGGTGTCCACCAGCCTGCTATGGCCGGAACCCAGTGCTGAAGCCGGGAACCCAGGGGGAACCCGACTTCACCCTCGAACCTGGAGACGGACTCTATGCAGCCATGATCCCACCAGAGTGGAGCCATGAGCTCCGAGCCACATCCACCCCCTCTCAGCGAATGGCCCAGGATGCACAGGAAGGCCCCCGGTAGAACACCCCTTCGAGGAACTGGTACCAGAGCACTACCGAGACTTCCAGGACATATTCTCCAAGGAAGCCTTCAACAAACTCCCCCCCCCCAGAAGCCTTGGGACCATGCCATCGACCTCGCCCCAGATGCCAAGCTCCCCCAAGGAGGACGTTCCCACTCTCACCAGCAGAGCAGAAAGAGCTGGATGCCTTCCTCAGGGAGAACCTCGCAAACAGACAGATCAGACCATCTAAGTCCCCAACGGGGGCCCCTGTGTTCTTTGTGAAGAAAAAGGACGGGTCCCTGAGGTTAGTCCAAGACTACTGCAAGCTGAACGAGGTCACAGTTAAAAACTCCTACCCACTCCCCCTGATATCCGACGTCCTCACCCGCCTCCGGGGCGCTAAGTGGTTCTCAACCCTAGACCTACAATGGGGGTTTAACAATGTCCGGATCAAGGAGGGGGATGAGTGGAAGGCAGCCTTTGCCACCAACTGAGGGCTGTTTGAGCCCACAGTGATGTTCTTCAGCCTCTGCAACTCCCCTGCCACCTTCCAGACAATGATGAATGACATCCTGTGGGAGTTCATCGACCGAGGGGATGTCATCTGCTACATGGATGACATCCTAGTCTTCTCCCCCAGTCTCGAAGGGCACTGGAGGGCTGTGCGAGAGGTTCTAGCCACCCTGAGGAGGTGGAAGCTCTTCCTCAAGCCTGAGAAGTGCAGGTTCGAGAAGAACACCATCAACTACCTGGGCCTCATCATCTCTGAAGGTCATGTTGCAATGGACCCAGTCAAGGTGAAGGGAGTAACCGACTGGCCAGTCCCCATGAAGGTCAAGGAGGTTCAATCCTTCTTAGGCTTCATCAACTTCTACCACCGCTTTATCCGGGACTTCTCAGAAAAGGCGAAGCCCCTTCACCAACTCACCCGGAAGACCCAGCCTTGGGCCTGGGGCCTGGTAGAACAGACTGCCTTTGAGGACTTGAAGCAAGCAGTCACGTCAGCCCCGGTGCTCACCTTCCCTTCCAACACGGCCCCATTCCACCTAGAGTGTGATGCCTCCAACTTTGCGATGGGGGCAGTCCTCTCACAGCTCCAGTCGGACAGAGACTACCACCCGGTGGCCTTCATGTCTAAGAGCTTCTTGGAGGTAGAAAGGAACTACAAGATCTATGACAAGGAGATGCTCGCCATAATATGAGCACTTGAGGAATGGCGCCACTTCCTAGAAGGAGCCCCAGAGAAGTTTGCCATCTTCACGGACCACAAAAACCTCTCATACTTCCGGACGGCCCAGAGGTTGAACCGGCAACAAGCACGCTGGTCCCTCTACCTCTCCCGCTTCGACTTCGTGCTGACCCATCGCCCAGGGAAGCTCATGGGGAAGCCAGATGCTCTGTCACGCAGAGCAGACCACCCTTGAGGAGAAGGGGACAATACAGGTGTAACCCTACTGCACCCGGAGTGGTTCGAAGTCCAAGTGACCGAGGGGGTGTCGATGGAAGGAGAGGAGATGGATATGTTGAAGAGGATCCAAGAAGGGAAGGAACATGATGAGGCAGTGGCGAAGGCCTTAAGAGAACTAGGAAAAGGTTCTCTGCACCCGGACGAATGGGATAGAGATGGGGACCTGATCCTCTACCAGGGGCGAGTATACGTCCCCAAGGACCCCCAGCTCCACCATGACCTGGTGAAGTTGCACCATGACTCGGTCCCAGCAGGACACCCAGGCAGATGGAAGACTCTGGAACTGATCTCCCGGAACTACTGGTGGCCGGGACTGTCACAATATGTAGCTAGTTATGTCTCAGGCTGCAACACCTGCCACGGGAAAAATCCTTCCCCTCCCGGAAGGTTGGGAAGCTCATCCCAAACAAAGTGCCCTCCCACCGATGGCAGATAATCTCGGTGGACACCATAGGCGAGCTCCCAGAGTCCAGGGGCTACAATGTGATCCTGGTGGTAGTAGACCGCCTCTCCAAGAGGATCCATGCTGTTCCTACCATCACCACAGTGGACTCTGCAGGCATAGCCTGGCTGTTCCTGGAACATGTCTGGCAGCACCATGGCCTTCCAGAGGAGATCCTGAGCAACCGAGGCACAGCCTTTGTGTCCAAATTCTCCAGTGAGCTGGCAGCACTCCTAGGGATCAAGCTCACCCCATCCACCCCATACCACCCGCAGACAGATGGGCAGACAGAACGTGTGAACCAAGAGATTGAAGCCTACCTCTGCATCTTTGTCAACCACCAGCAGGATGATTGGGCTGACTGGCTCCCACTAGCTGAGTTTGCATACAACAACCGGGTCCACTCAGCCACCTGTCAGGGCACGGCCCTTGACCCCACTCACCCTCAGACACCCTCACCCTTTCCCTAACCACCCTCTCTCCACATTTCCCCATTCCCCTTATCCTTCCCCCCACTGTTTCACATAATGACGCGCACGCGCGAACCTGTGGGAACGTTCTGGGCGAGCGACTCGCCCAGAAATGTACAGCCACAACCGTGGGAACATTCTGGGCGAGCAGCTTGCCCAGAACTTTCCCACAGGTCACACCCGTTATGGAAAGTCGGCAGCGAGCGGGAACTGTATAGTTCCTAGGGTCCTTTTGTGTCAGCCTCACAGGGGGCTGAGAAGCTTACCCTTCTTCTCAGCTCATTCCCTGTGAAGGCTGAGGCCAGTCCCCTCAGCGACTTCGAGGAGTTAGCACCTGGGGAGAGTACCCCAGCACCCACACCCGGCCTCGCCCTCCGGCCACTCCCAGCTGGGGTCCGGATCCTGACACCACCCGCCAGACCCCATTTGAGCTCGACTCAGGACAGCACCCCTGGATGGGGACTGAGCCAACCTGCTCCTCTGACGTCGAAGCAGCAGATGCCTTTGCCTCCCAGATGATGAAAATGCAGGAAGAGGCAAAGGCAGCACTAGAGCATGCAGCAGACGAGATGGCCTGGTACTATGACAGGAACCAGAAGGCTGCCCCAGAGTACAAAGAAGGGCAGAAGGTCTGGCTCAGCTCCCGAAACTACACAACCGACCGACCAACTTCGAAGCTGGACCACAAAAGGATTGGCCCCTTCCGCATCACCAAGGTGGTGTCCCCAGCAGCTGTGAAGCTGCAGTTCCCCACCCAGCTGAAGGGCGTCCACCCTGTAGTCTCAGTCACCAACATCCACCCCTACCTCCCAGATGAGATCGCCAAGCATGCAGCAGACCCCCACCCTGGCCCAGAAGTTATTGATGGAGAAGAAGAATATGAAGTAGAGAAGATCCTAAACTCTGGGTACAGGTACGGAAAACCCTGGTATTTTGTTAAATTCTCGGGCTGGCCAAACTCGGAAAATGAATGGCTCCCCCACAAGAACCTAGAGCACTCTCAAGAGCTCGTAGAAGAGTTCCACCGATCCCACCCTGATGCCCTGAGACAAGAAAGGTCCAATAGAACCCACCAGCCAAGACACCAGCCAAGACACCCAGCCACTCCGAGGCGAAGCGGTATAGAGGGGGGGTGATGTCAGGGCAACCACACCTGACCATACAACCCCAGAACCACCTTCCCTGACCTCCCCCCACTTCCCTCATCCTCCCATCCTTACACACCTTTCACAACTACAGCCTGCATGCAAACCCATGGGAAAAATCACGTGGGTCAAGGCAAGCAACTCACCTTAACCCATGTGACACCTTTTCTATAGAAAATATAGGGTTATGGCAGTTCCAGGGCCGGGGTCGGACAAGATGACAGTAGACCGCTAAATAAAATTGTCGGCACAAACATATGTAAATACATGTTTCGAGGCTGTCCTCCAACATTTTCCGCATCGCGGGAACATGCTCGGCTCCTACCCTTAGTCATGTTACAAACTGTACAGTACATTTCCCTTTTATAGTAGCCAAGCGGGGAATAGGGAAACTTACCCTTCTTCTCAACTCAATCCCTGCTTAGTGAGTTTGAGGAGCTTGGGGTAGGATCTAGCACCTGGCTGCCTGGGACACCGCAAGTGTCCAGTTCTGAGGTAGGGCTGCCCCCGGACAGAGGCCGGGCCCTGACAGCAGTACAGGGAGGCAAAGAATGCAGTGGGGAAAGAAATGTTGGAAGAGGTAAATTTTGTCCTGTAATTTTAACTAGAAGTGCAGTACATACACAACTATCCAAAATGCGGGTCGAATGATGACCAAGATGGGGTCTGGTATGGGCTGGGCTCAGGTGAATGCAAAGAACTGAAGGTGAGAACAGTCAGGGTGACCCGCGCAGCAGCGTAAACAAGTGGAGGAAGTAATACTATGCCCTTAATAATAGACTCATGAACATGATCATCAAGCCATGCAACACAATCCCCAACCCATGCCTTAACCCATGCGACACCTGCAACCCATCCAATCGGAAAAATCAAGACAGGAGCTACTGTGATATATATCGCTGAAACCCGCCATAGAATCATCTCCGTGCGTGTTGGAAAGGGAAACGACCATGCAAGGCAATGAATTCCCCCAAAGATTATTCCGGTGGCTGCAAATATGGACATGAATTCCAACCCCTTAGGCTCATCCACCCACACGAGGGACATCGGATCTGCATCAGGCTCCGTTTTAGGTGTTTGTTGATCAACATTTGTCTCGGAAGTCGGAGGAACAGAAGGGGACTTTCGCATCACATGGATTGGAAATTGAGCATTGACAGGTTTCTCCCACCACAACACGTAAACAAAGATATATAATGCCACATATGCCAGCGCCATTGTCTCGAGTTGCGATCTGTGCAAATGGTTTGCCCATCGTTCGGCATATTGAGTGATAAACCAGAGTAGTTGGAGGACAGTGATAATTTTGGAAAACGCATCGCCTTTGCTTCTGTCAAGAATTTCCTTCTGTGTAATTGCGACCTTTCTAGTATCCCCGGTGTTCTCAATTATGCCGGGGTATTGCTGCAAGTCATTCGGGCCCACAACGCTTCCTTCTGATGGGTCGAAGAAACCATTCATGACAACAAAGTATGAATGCGTCAAGGTCCACCCTTGTGGCAAGTAGTCAGCGCATCTTGTGCATTTCCCCTCAAATTCCGGGCACACCTTCAACCATCTCGAATTTTTCTGATATTCTCCGAGATATCAAAAATTGGTCCCAGGCAAGCGCCAGAGTGAACTCCGGTAGAACCAGTGACCAGGTCATCATGACAGCGCGCAGTATAAGCACTGAGGCATCATCATCATAGGATTGTGGTAGATCTGGGTGCACTGCTGTCCAAATGCAAGCAAATACAGTAAGGAGACAGCTATAGAGGATGCCCCATATCATTCGGTAATTCCGGGGATCGTTGTAACCATCAGATACATTTTGCAGGAAACAAGTCGTATTGTGAGGGGGGGTGGGCGCCGAATAAACATTGTAGGCAAGAAGAACGTTGATAAGGGCTGTTGCCATCAGATCTGGTAGAATGGGGGTACAAGCGCACCAAATACAGGTCGAGTATACTTAAGCTTTATAATGTGAACTGGGGTACTGCCGATGTTCAGCTCGTTATCAGCCATGCGGCAATTCCAGGGATTTCGAATTGCATCGATGTGAAATTAAGTTACCGCGCGTCATTCACTTCGAACAAATTTTAAATTTGACTCTAGATTCAGTCACCGCAGTCGACGATTTTACATAAGCGGTTGACTGTTGCGATAACATACCAGTTGTTCCTTTCAATGGTGCACGGCCATGAAAACCAGGGCCGGTTCGGGCCCTTGGGGCACTAGATATAGTTATATAACCCCCCAGGAAGTGTTAGCTCAGTCATTGCCATGGTCTCCTAACACTCGATGCGAGAAAACGCATTCCCCGCAAATTGTAGAGTTAGGTCCCTTCCCCACATCCCCGAAGGGAATAGGCCTCTCTCTTAGAAACTACATAAAGGGTGAATGAACCCCAGTCTTATTGGCGTCTGGCACATCCTTTACAGGACGCTGGCCACTCTAAGCTGTACTGGGAATTCCACACCGCGCTAATGATCATGTACTGAATAACTTCGTATACTATCACCTTGGCGGTGCTTCTTTACATCGGCAACGCCATCGACAACCTTCCTTGACACTGGCCATCTATCGCTCCTTCATACGACATGGCTCAGCTTCGGTTCTCGCCGTCTATTGCTACCACAATGACTACCGGGTCGAGCTCGCGGACTGCCGTGAAGCAACTGTTCTCCCTCTCACTCATTCCAACTAGGACAATGACAGAGAATACGTTCTCGTGCTCGCACTAGTTTCGATTCACGACAATTACTCGGGCGCTGGATGCTATAGATTCCATATTTACATGATTGACTATTGTCGTAGCTTCAGAGATTCAGTGCAAGCGCTGTACAATGAAATGGGAATCCTTTCCGAGGAGGCCACTCAGGGATTATTGTTCGAGTCAGTCCGAGATCTGTGAATTCACCTAATCCCAGCTGATATGTGTGTTTTTTTTGCAAATGGTGGACATCTCTCGAGCTCAGAGACAATCGTCGGGCCAACATGCTCCACGATATCCTGCTTCTACTGCACCCTCCGGCACCGCAGCCATCACACACACTCGGTGTCGAGACAACATGTCGATGAGTAAGGGTCAAGGCCAATTCTTCTCGACGGAATCCTGCAGAACAAATCTTGCCAGGTACGAAAGTTCATGTGCTACTATGCTACGCTTCTGATGAACCCTTAGGAGTTATTCCGTTCAATTTCGATGTCATTCAAGTCCCCACCCCTACGGCTCTGCCAGTCCTGCCAACCGCAGCGAGTTTCATGCACGAAAAGGGAGGGAATGGTGTGGGGAAAGAAAAGGTGATTAATGCTGGGAGAGGTGAAAATCAAACGGATTGCGAGTCTTTTAATTTATCCGTACGTAACTTGTGGTCTGATGGTTTTTAATCTCAAATGTAACGGCGCATCTGCGTCGTATTCGAATGTAAACAACGGTAATAAAACATACAGATTGAAATAAGAAGCACGGTACATACATCTATCCATGATGTGGAAGAAATGAGGTCCAAGATGGGGTCCGGTAAAGATCAGGGGGAGGCGAACGCAAAGAAGTGAAGGTAAGAACAAGATAATCCGGGCAATAATGTAAGAGGCTTCCATGAGTAACCCACATAGTTCAACTACGGAAGAGCAAACATCAGTAGCCTGGCGATGAGTTATAGTAAAGCGAAAATCTCCAAGAGCAGAACGATAAATATTGTCTGCAGGGAGGAGAGTGATCCGTCGTATCGACATGTGCAAGGCATAAGGAATAGGGCACGCCACAATAATTATCGCTGAAATCCGCCACAGAAGGGTCTCCTTGGGTGTTGGAAAGGGAAATGACCATGCCAAGCAATGGATCCCCCGAAGATGATGCCCGCTGCTACACTACTCGTCATAAGGGTGGACCCTGACGCATTCATACTTTGTCGTCATAGATGGTTTCCGAGTCGACTCGGGACTGGAATTGCCGGTGGATGACTTGCAGAAATATCCTGCCATAATTGAGAAGACGGGGAATACTAGGAAGGCCGCAATAACAAAGAAACAAATTCTTGACAGAAGCAAAGGGGACCCATTTTCCAAATTTATCATTGTCGTTCAGCTGCTATGGTTTATCACTCAATACGTCGGACGGTGGGCAAGCCATTTACAAAGATCGCAACTGGAGACAATGACGCTCGCGTACGCGGCATTATGCGTCTTTCTTTATGTGTTGTGGTGGCATAAACCCGTTAACATTCAATTCCCAATCTATGTGATGGAAGAGTCCCCTTCCGTTCCTCCGACTTCCGAGACAAATGTCGATCAACCGACACCTAAAACGGAGACTGATGCAGATCCGATGTCCGTGCAAGTGTCTGAGCCCAAGGATATGGAAGTCATGTCGATATTTATAGCCACTGGGATGATCTTTGGGGGAATCCATTGCCTTGCATGGTCATTCCCCTTTCCGACCCACACGGAGATGATTTTATGGCAAGTTTCAGCAGTATATATTACAGTCGCTCCTGTCTTTATAACGTTGGCCGGATGGCTTAGTGATCATGTTGATGATGATTTGGGTATGATGATAATGGTACTTCTTTTACTTGTTTATGCCGTTGCGCGGGTCATCCTCCTTGTTCTCACCCTCAGTTCTTTGCGTTCACCTCCGCCTAGTCTATACCAAACCCCGTCTTGGTCATCATTCCTCCCGCACTTTGGATAGCTGTGTATGTACCGCGCTTCGGGTGTTTTATGTACTGCGGGATAGCCCATGTTTACAATTGAACATGAGCGCGGTTGCGTTAATTAAGATTCAAATTCATGACATCACAAGTCACATAGTGATTCACTTGGCATCCGGCATCCCTGCACTGCCGAGGTCCTTGGATGGCTGCAAAGAGACCATCTCCCGAACCAATTCCCCCTAGGCCACTCAGATACAAGCCATTCCCTCGGATCTCACCATGCCTGGGAAGCCTGCCCCTCGCATGAACATGAATAATATTGTTGGCAAAAATACCCAGATGGTGCAACAAGGCAGGCCAAATGCCGGCCTTACCGGGTTCGTGCTTCTCATCCTTCACCGTTTATTTAGTTGATTGTTTGATTCTGGGCGTATTAGGTTATTCCTACGCGTGGGGCTTCTGATTTAAGTGTACAGAGACAACGAGGGTTTGGCCAATCTGAATCTACTCCCCCTTTATGTCCAGGTAAAGACCAAAGCACAATAATCGTCATCTTCTTTTCCGTGATAACACTGGGCCTCCAGCATCCAACAGAGGTGACCTTTTCCGTTTTCGTCCCTGCCTTTCCTCTCGAACTTCTCTCACCAAGGTTTGAGGACAAATAACCGTATCATCATGTTGGGTACAACTCACCTCCGTTTCTAGCCAGATAATTCACAAAGTTGCCTATCTGACCGGCAACGGACATTTCGGTTGCAATACCAACGAAGTCAGGATCGTTGTGAAAATAGCGTATAAAAGGCGGCTGCTCTGCGAGTGAACGCGGGGCTGACCCGCTGGGACTGATGGTGCTGATAGTGGGGTTGGCAGTAGTGGATGGGTCCGGCGTGCTGGCGTGGGAGACACCGATGTATGCAAGGATCGACAATTGGGTGGGTGATGCGGGTCGCTGTATGTCATCTGTCGTTGGATATGGTCCGATACCAATATTTGTGCCACCCTGGGCACCCAGCGGGTTCGACGCGGAACCATAAGATAAGTTGAAATAGTCAGATAAGTGGTAATCATAATTCATACCATTGGCTCTTCCTTCTGTTCTCTCTCCTTAGATGCACCTGGCAGTGAGGATTCCAAAGTTTCTGGAGGCCACGCCGCTCTGTTCTGACGCGTAATGAAAGGGGATTGGAACGCTACCCTTCCACCGGTAGTACTCATCGACCCGCTAATCCTCAGCTCCCCAATTGGTAAGCTGGTCAGTGTTTCCCCTCGCTGCACCCGCTCAAGCAGATGGTTGAGCTCAGCAGCGCTGGGTCGTAGCTCAGGGCGAGGTTCGAAACACGCCGAAAGGCACCTTTCAACGGAACCGACATTGCTCCATTCATAAGGAGGGCCCTTGGAGATGGCCGAAGGAAGCTGGAACGGGCCTTATACGGGATCTGGTCAGTGAGGATCTGAACCACAAATCAGTCCTCGGGCTCATATTCCTAAGCATAACTTTCACCTCTGCAGCTGTACACCCAAAAGCCCAAATATCGCTGGCTTCATTTCGCCCGGTGATGATGGCCTCCACCAGTTCTGGGGAAGCGTACCTAGGAGTGCTCATCACGCTCGATGATTCGGCGTGCGTTGTAAAATCGTCGAGGATGGAGGAAAGCCCGAAATCACATAATTGTGCATCACAATCCGCTCCCAGGACGAGTATATTCTCCTATTGCAGTCACCAGTAGATAAACCAGTACTAGGGACGAAATTATGGTTGAACGCACTGGTTTGATGTCTCCGTGGACTATACCGCATAAACCAATCCTTGACATGCTCCCCGAATCTAACTGACTTAATTAGCGACGGAGTTTGGAGTTGAAAAATCCGCAACCAACTGATGAGATGAGGGCGGTCCCCAAGTGGATTACGGCGCAAGAAATCCTTCACGTTCCCACCTTCAGCCCACTCCGATATCAGGCTCACACGTAATTTATCGTCAACAACGCGCTGTAGCGTCCAGCCAAGAAATGCTACGATATTTCCGTGCTGCAAGTTGTGCCAAACCTTGACTTCTCGTCTGAGCCGCTGAAAGGAGCAAGGTTGTGGCCAAGGCAAAGGAGAGGGAGGGAAACGATACGAACCCGAATAAACTTCCCAAGCCAGTCTGTGCTGATAACAGGGACTTCTTTAAGCACCTTCACGCAGACGTTCTGACAGCAAAAGTAAAAAGTCAGTGGGCGCTAACGTTGATCCCCGAAGAAAGAGCGAACGCACGGAATTATGATATTCACCCAAATATACGTCACCAAAACCCCTCTTGAGACGCATCCGGAGTGAACATCAGTATAATTATTGACACTCAGTGACCCTTGTGCTGAGTACTCCAACGTGTTCTTGGGCACGGATGGACTTAAGGGGTGTATTACTTATTCAATTTTGACGCTCCCAATCACCTGTGTGAACGGCACCAAGAATGGTGGGTTCGCCAGTCAGCCGACGTATTATATCACTCTCATGAACGTACACTTGTACTTTGGGCATCACTTGAAGACAAGCATACCCGAATCGTAGACTTGTCCCACTTTATTATCATGTATTTATTCCGAGGACTGCTCTTGGCGCTTGTCCCGAGGCTAAATATCCAGAATAAACAAGACACCTAGCTACACTCTGAAAAAAGACCGCATTTTTGGTGCCCTCTTTGTTTGGCCTTCCCATCGTAGGCAGGATCGAGAACAGTGCCAGCCAGACCTGAATTAGCACAAACTCCAAGGGAGAAAGTGATGCTGCAGGAGTCACATCCAGTATGGTACCTTATCTTCATACGCCGAAGAAGCCCAAATGCGGCTTTACTGGATTGTATGAGGGGTCTGTCGGAGTGATATCGATAAGCGCGAGGGTATGACTATGTGCCCCCAGCTTCCACCACTACCTCTCTCGAATAGTTCAGGAGACTGATACGGAGTGGAGTGAATTCATTAACTTTGCTTCTATGCTGGCGCGTGTTCAAGACACGCATATATCTGTGGTGTTTAATTCTCGAATTGCATGATGTGCTTCTCACACTTCCTCGTTGCGGTTTGCCTTTCCATCCAGTGCCCCCACGGGGATTCGTAAGTTGCATTCCAGCCAGGGTTCCCCCGCTGCTCGAGTTTTTCTCTGGCAGTTCCTGGGAAATTGATCAAAGGCGGGATCAATTGTTTCTGCTCCTACGACGTGACGCAAGTTCGCAATCAGGGAGGGGGGTTCAAAGTTGATGACAACGGCTATGCAAAAAAAAAGCCGGCGCGCATGGCGATTTGGACAAATGGGGCTGGTGATAACTCGAAAAAGTAGCAAATTAGACCAGACTGAGCCTAAAGGGAAATTTGTTTTGTTTGAATTTGAATGAGGCGCTGTTGTTGTTGTTTATTCTGGATATTTATCCTGCAAACTCGCTCCACTCTCAAGTCGTTACGTATGGGTTGTCCGATCTTGGGTTGGCGATGTCGGATACGCGCGCATGGCCCCACGGTATGATTTTCAAATGCTTCAGGATCCATGTGATGATGTCTTCACTTGCGTGCGACTGCATAGGAACCTAATATATGAAAGTCCAGACACTGCATTAATTGAATACACTGAGCCCAGTCACGGCAGTTAAGATTAAGTCCGACGCCCATTTGATCATCGGCTAGGCACCTCACATTGAGCTTGGCAGATCCATCAAAGATCTGTGGATATGTAATTCGGAATCTCCATAATCAAATACCAGTTTGCCTCAAGGAACATGGCTAACACAGCATAAAACATAGGGGCAGTATAAAGCTTATACTCAACCTATAAAATTTGGCCTGTACCCATTCTTGCCTATGGTGTTTATGCAATGCCTATCCTCCCTCATAACACCACGAGTCTCTCAGTGCCAAATATATCTGATGCATGCAATGACCTACGCAATTGTCAAACTATGTGGAATATCGTCTATACCTGTCTCCTCACGATTATTGCGTGCATTTGGACGGCCGTACACCCAGATATACCAAAGCCTAATTATTCCCTGTTCAAACATCCTGGATCGTCCCGTGGCCCCTTGATGATTCTTTCACTGGTTGCACCGGAGGTCCTTCTGGGGGGAGCGTTGGGAGATCTCTTGGACGCTCGGAGAGTGTCAAAAGGCTGCAGGATGATCGAAGGTGTGCCCTGAATTTGAGCAGAAATACACAAGACAAGAATCTGATCTCTACTCTTCACAAGGATGGACGGATACGCATTCATTCTTTGTCATCATGCGTGGCTTCTTCGACCCATCCATAGGAGCAGTGATTCCTAAAAGGAACGAAAACCCTCTGGATGTCCTCAAGCAATACCCAGGCATAATTGAGAGTGCTGGTAAGGTTGCAGTAGCAAAGGAAGAAATTCTTGACAGAAGCAAAGGGGACTGGTTTGCGAAATTTATCGTTATCCTGCAACTACTGTGGTTTATCATTCATTATATCGGACGATGGGCGGGCGGTTTGCATAGTTCACAACTCGAGACAATGACGTTGGCGTATGCAACACTAAGTGTCATCGATTATATGTTGTGGTGGCATAAACCTACTCTCATCCAACTCCCGATCCATGTGACGAAAGATTCCAGCTGTTTCGATCCTCCGAGTTTCAGGGACGTCGATGCCGATCAGCCAGAGCACAGTGTGGAGAAGGGGGCAGTTCTGAATCTCACTCTAGCGGAGATCGTTGGATATGGCCCTGTTTGGGCCAGTGTAGCCGCGGGCATCATCTTCGGGGGGACTCATTGCTTGGCGTGGTCATTTCCCTTTCCAACACCCAGGGAGACCATTCTGTGGCGGATTTCAGCGATAATTATTGTGGCGTGCCCTATTCCTTATGCCTTGCACATGTCGACACGACAGATCACTCTCCTCCCTGCACACGATACTTATCGTTCTGCTCTTGGAAATTTTTTCTTTTGTATAACTCGTCGCCAGGCTGTTGATTTTTGCTCTAACGTAGCCAGAGTATGTGGGTTTCTCATGGAAGCCTCTTACGTCATTGCCCGGATTATCTTGCTTGTTCTTACCATCACCACTCTGCGTTCGCCCCCCCCTGATCTTTACCAGACCCCATCTTGGACCGCATTTCTCCACATCTTGGATAGATGTATGTACCGTGCTTCATATTTGTATGTTTTATTACCATTGTTTACATTCGAGTATGACCTAGATGCGCCAGATTAAAAACCATCAGATCACAAGTTACGTAGGGATAAATTAAAAGACTCTCGCAATCCGTTTGATTTTCACCTCTCCCAGCATTAAACACCGTTTCTTTCCCCACACCATTCCCACACATTCTTCCCCTTTTCGTACCTGAAATTTGCCGCGGTTGGCGCGACTGGCAGGGCCGTAGGGGTGGGGCCTTGAATGACACCGAGATTGAACGGAACAACTCCTAAGGGTTCATCAGAAGGGTAGCATAGTAGAACACGAACTTTCGTACCTGGCACCCCGGTGCTGCCAAAGCTTCGCCCCTCGCCCGCTCAAAAGATGTACCATCCGCAGCTGATCTCTCAGGTTCTGACCGGCGTCCGGTGAGTGAATGAAGGGACTTCTTGAGCCCTTCGCTCTGCTTCCTGGGCGGTTCTTTGCCAACTCCCGCTTTCGCTGCCATCTTGGCCAAATGCACTGGTCGCTCTGCATGATCCGCACGATCTCCAGTTCCCCAAAAAGACACCCAATCAAATGACTGATCATATTACATCACCGGACCAGCCTGAGCAATGCCCCGTGCGCAACAGCCGAGTGAGTCGTGACTCCGAGGATGAACCGAAAAGGACCAAATTGGGGCCTTCTCTTCAACTAGCAAAATACTCAAGGGGAAACGGGCTGCTGGAGGAAAAGGAAAAGCAAAGGATGAAAGTGCCCTGCTTGCCGCTCCTGACCGGTTCAAAGCCAGGCTGAAGGATGCGCATGTCGAGGGACCTTCAAGCAAAAGATGATACAAAGCCCGAAGAAACGGGTGAGGATGGCAAGGAGGCTGCACTTGAAGTTGATAATGACACTGGTTGGATCAGCCATCGACTGGAGTTCCCTAAGAATGACAGGGCTGAGACGCATCGTGCTGAACATGATTACGAGGACATCGATCCTCGAGCCAAGGCACGAGGATTACGCGAGGGGGAACAGGAACGAAAGAGGTCACGACGGTCCGAAGTTGGGCGAGCATTTCGGAAAGGGAGATAACTCATCATCTCATTCAATCCATCCCACAAACAAGCCGCACTGAAGTATTCACCAATACCGGCAAGGTCCATATAATCAGCCAGGCGAGATCGAGAGATGGAAGGATGCGAGAAAGTGTTCAATGGGCGGTGCCGACATTGAAGGCTTGAAAATCACCTAGGGTGAGTAAGAATGGTTGGCTAAACGAAAGCGACGATGACGCATCCGATGGGAGCCTCCAGAGTCCCTCGCATGTGAGGAGGCAGCGTCATCATCTCCTGCCCAATAGCAAGAAGAGAACCTGCCTTTGCCAATCGTCTCGCCAGCCCTCGGCGCCCCAGTCAATGGGGTCCCCAGCATTGCAGCTCGTGCAGGGGAATCAGTGCTCGAGGATTCCGGTCATTAGCTAGCATTGGGTCTTCTAGAGTGATTGTTGTACGACCGATTGTTGCTGGGGGAGGCTGGGGCAGGAAGGGGATTTGCTGGTTTGGAGGGTGATTTTTGTGGGTGTGCTGAGGGCGATGCATTGGCGCTCACTCCTAGAGTCGGAGCCGACGAGATTTGTTCTGCAGGATTCCGTCGAGAAGAATTGGCCTTGACCCTTACTCATCGACATGTTGTTTCGACACCGAGTGTGTGTGATGGGTGCGGTGCCGGAGGGTGCAGTAGAAGCAGGATATCGTGGAGCATGTTGGCCCGACGATTGTCTCTGAGCTCGAGAGATGTCCACCATCTACACAAAAAAAAACACACATATCAGCTGGGATTAGGTGAATTCACAGATCTCGGACTGATTCGAACAATAATCCCTGAGTGGCCTCCTTGGAAAGGATTTCCATTTCGTTGTACAGTGCTTGCACTGAATCTCTGAAGCTACGACAATAGTCAATCATGTAAATATGCAATCTATAGCATCCGGCGCCAGAGTAATTGCTGTGAACCGAAACAAGTACGAGCATGGGAACGTATTCTCTGTCATCGTCCTAGTTGGAATGAGTGAGAGGGAACAGTTGCTTCCCGGACACAGCAGTCCGCGAGCTCGGCCCGGTGGTCGTTGTGGTGGCAATAGACGGCGAGAATCGAAGCTGAGCCATGTCGTATGAAGGAGCGATAGATGGCCAGTGTCAAAGGAAGGCTGTCGATGGCGTTGCCGATATAAAGAAGCATCGCCAAGGTGATAGTATACAAAGTTATTCAGTACAACTAGGAGATGATCATTGGCGCGGTGTGGAATTCCCAGTACAGCTTAGAGTGGCCAGCGTCCTGTAAGTCAGTGGATAAAAAGATGATTTGAAGGATGTGCCAGACGCAAACAAGACTGGAGTTCATTCACCCTTTATGTAGTTTCTAAGAAAGAGGCACATCCCCTTCGGGGAGAAGGGACCTAACTCTACAATTTGCGGGGAATGCGTTTTCTCGCATCGAGTGTGAGGAGACCATGGCAATGACTGAGCTAACGTACACTTCCTGGGGTTTATCTAGTGCCCCAAGGCCCTGAACCAGCCCTGGTTTTCATGACCGCGCGCCATTGAAAGGAACAACTGGTATGTTATCGCAATAGTCAAGCGCTTAAAATTGTCAACCCTATTGCGATGACTGAATCTAGAGTGAAATTTGCAATTTGTTCCAAGTGAATGACGCGCGCTACTTAATTTCCGAGAAGCAACATTGTTTTTCGTAGCTTCAAATGCAATTTGAAACCCCTAGAATCGCCTCGAGGCCGATAACGCGCTGAACATCGGCAGTACCCCAGTTCACATTATAAAGCTTATACTCGACCTGCGCTTGTACCCCCATTCGACCTGGATCTGATGGCAACTGCTCTGATCAACGTCCTTCTTGCCCACAATGTTTATTCGGCGCCCATCAACCCTCACAATATGACTTGTTTCCTGCAAAATGTATCTGTTGATTGCAACGAACTCCGGAATTACCGAACGATGTGGGGCATCATCTATAGCTGTCTCCTTACTGTGTTTGCTTGCGTTTGGACAGCAGCACACCCAGATCTACCATATCCCGGTGTTGGTGGCTCGATGTTTCTATCGCGCGTTATCTCGATGATCATTTCACTGGTTTTACCCGAGTTGACTCTGGGGTCTGCATGGGTCGAATTCGTGACATCTGGGAGAATATCAGAAAAATGCGAGATGGTCGAAGGTGTGCCCAGAATTTAAGGGGTAATGCACACGTTAGGAAGGGACGGGGCACTGACTTGTACTTGCAACAAGGGTGGACCTTGACGCATTCATACTTTGTCGTCATGGGTGGTTTCTTCGACCCGTCAAAAGGAAGCGCTGTGGGCCGGAACGACTTGCAGCAATACCCTGGCATAATTGAGAACACCGGGGATACTAGAAAGGCTGCAATAGCGAGGGAGGAAATTCTCGACAGAAGCAAAGGCGATGGGTTTTCCAAATTTCTCATTGTCCTTCAACTACTATGGTTTATTACTCAGTATGTCGGACGATGGGCAAGCCATTTGCACATATCGCAACTCGAGACAATGACGCTCGCGTATGCGGCGTTATGCCTCCTTCTTTACGTGTTATGGTGGCATAAACCCGTTAACATTCAATTTCCAATCCATGTGACGAGAGGGTCTTCCGTTCCTCCGACCTCCGAGACAAATGTCGATCAACCAACACCTAAAACGGAGACTGATGCAGATCCAATGTCCCTCGTGCAGGTGACTAACCCCAAGCATACCAGGCATTGGGAAACCCCCATATTTATAGCCACTGGGTTGATCTTTGGGGGAATTCATTGCCTTGCATGGTCGTTTCCCTTTCCGACACGCCTGGAGATGATTCTATGGCGGGTTTCAGCAATATCTATTACAGTGGTTCCTATCCTTGTAATAATGTTGATGTTTATCGTAGGTCAGGATGACGTTAATAGCTCACCATTCGCGTTACCCGGTTTACTTGTTTTTTCCGCTGCGCGGATTATCCTCTTTGTTCTCACCTTCGATTCTTTGCGTTCATCTCCGCCTGATCTGTTATCTTGGTCATCATTCCTCCCGCATTTCGGATAGCTGTGTATGTACCCGGTGCTTCTGGCTAAAATTGTGTTTTATTACAGGACAACCTGATGTTGACGAAGATTCAAATTCATGAGATCATGGCAAGTTACGCATAAACATATACAAATGCGCCTTTGCTCTTTGCCTCTCCCTACATCAGTCGTCATTCTTTCCCCCACCACACCCCACATCACTGTACTGCATGCGAACTAGAAACTCGGCTAGGTCAACGTTATCAAACCGGGTGCGCGCCGGGAGTATCACTTTGGAGATTATTGCTATTGGAGATAAGTCAATCAACGGGTATGTGCACACCCTGATGTTGAATGCCCCGAAGCCCCAGGGTGAAGCCCATCACGAGATTGTCTGCTCCCAATCCGGAAAAATCGTTGTTATTGGAGGGGCAAAGATATATATGAGTCCCGAAGCCCCACATCGGAATCAGACTCGTACCCAGTCGTCGTCGCTCCGTGGACGCGCACTGCGAACACGCGATTTCAAAAATTGACTAAGTTACGTTTGTATTGTAATACATAATAAGTGGTCACGTTGCGTATTGAAATACATCTGATCACATGTTGCGGAGATAAAGTCATGTCCGATCACCTACTCCGAAAACCAGCGCGCGACACTTCGCTCCGACGACTGGTGTAAAATGGCAGTGGCGATGTCCACGGCAACTTCCGGGACCGACGGAAAAGCTTCTCTGAGACCACCTCCGGTTCCTTCACCACCCCCCACACTATGAATGCACCTGCAGATCGTGCAGAAGATGTACTTAACTGCATGCTAGCTAATGGATTCACCCTTATATCATTTCTATCAACGATCTTGACCTTGATGCGCTTTGGTGACAAACTGCGAGAGATCCATCTCCATATTCTCAGCCCCGACGAAAACTCTGGCAGTGCTGTCATTGTGAAAAATTGGATCCTTACAAGCGCTCAAGCAATTTACATGGAAGAAATACAAACACTTATAGAGAAGGAGAGCGGGCTCCACATGAACGCCTTCAATCTTCATCCGGCACAGCTTGATGCAGGAAGGGTCAGTGCATTGGAGCCGATATTTAAGTCCAAGGCACCAGCACTTTGGCGCCTGTTCCAGCAGCTACTTGTAGTGGAAAGCAAGGTGCGAGCAAGGCATTGGGCAAAGCCAGTGCCACCAAGCGTGGAGCTGAGTGATAGAAGAGATGAAGCCGATGGTGGGGATCATGTCAGTGCGGGAAGGCAGTTGAAGGGAAGTTCTTCAGAGAAACACTACGCTCTCCTCAGAATTGTAAGGTATAACACGCCCGAGAAGTATGGTAGATGACTTACTCTTGTATAGAAAGGAGTTGTAATCATGTTGATAATTGTGAATAGTTGCAATGGTCACTGCAACGCATTGCAAGTGAAAAATTCATTTTATTTGGCCGCATCGAATACATCAAAATCGGTCCGTGAGTGGGCTGCCCGTACTGGAATTGCAGTATCCCCCTCATCGATCGAGAAGCTTCGAGTGTCACTGATAAGAAACCAAAAGACCTTGAACAAAGGCCTTGGACTCACTCATGTTGTCAACATTGCATATGATAATTGCGACTTCAAGTTCGGTGTTGGTCAACCAACAGACCTCAAGGACCGAACATTTGAAAGCATCACGACGGGCCTATTCTTCGTGCCACCAAAGGAAGTGCTTCCTGAGCACTTAGAATATGCTGAAAGGATATGGAACACTCACCCAAACAATCCCAATGTCATTAATATGCCACCGAGGATTGGCCTTGCCGATGTTCTGCAGGCAACTGAACCTACAATCAAGTTGGCGGAACATTTTCAGTGGCATATTACATCGGCATTGATCGAAGATTACTTCCCTGAACTGCGATCAGAGCTTATTGACCCACCATCGACATTCCGACTGCTGCCACAGCAAACATCATTTTCGACTGCGGAGGCTGTGTATGCGAAGGCATCTACTATCAATGGGAATGTCGAGGCGATAATGTCACTTCTTGAACAAAGCGGTATCGTGGATGTGAGAGTTTTTGAGAAGTATGTAATTCTTCTCCATGGGGATCTTGGGACAATGGAGAAGATTGAGGGCATTTTGCACTCACGGAGAATTGAAGAAAGCGTGTTGGAACGCATGCATTATCTTCTGCCTATACCAGGGCTCTTTCACGTTAGAATGGCATGCGTTGATGCAATAAACAGGATCCATGCAACTGGGAATGACTTACGAAGCGACCCAAACAGATTCTACAAGCACCTCTGTTTGCTCTTTCCAAACGACCTTTCCAAATTGAACAAAGCAGTCCCTCCTTTTCGGATGATGAATGACGGAATAAACTACATCACCCGATGTATTATTCTTGATGCATGGGAGGAGAGTGTGGGCGGTGACCTCCAGAAATTCATTTCTTCCAAACCTACTTTGGAAGAGATTAACCGGAAAGCTGAGGAAATCACGAGGGCGCATTTTGAAACGAAACAAGATGCAATGAATCAGTGGCCACAAGAGGAACAAGATCAAAGGAGAATGAACCAACTTTTGTTCAACAGAGATGCGATGTATTACCGCGTCCTTGTGCATGCGATGAACTATGGGATGGTCGATGTGATAATCGACGTCCTTTCATTCTGGGTTCCGATCTTCCAGGCCTGCCGAAAACACAAGTACGCAACATACCTTTCAAATTTCATCTTCAAGTTGCAACGGTACCCACTACCACTTCAAGAAGCCATCATGAGGTGCTGGCTCTGTAATCCGTCAGGGAATAATGGTGGATTTCGGGCAATCGACTGGCTGGTTGAGTTGATGAACCTCTACACGAAGGTACAGCATGTAACCCACTGGTGATTCTCAAAGTACCTAATCGTAGTACATGCGACTAGGTTATTTACTCGGGGGGAGGATCTGGGAAAACAATAGAGTATATTGTCAGTCAGTCATCGATAATTCAGGCCTATAGAACGTGCATTGAAGACGTTGAGGATGATTACCACATACCAGACAAGACCCTTCATCATGCAAGCCCCGACATCGAATCTAGATTACTTGCTATAAGGAATGAACTTCGTAACCTTCGACCTCACAAGTATGAAAGGGGTCGCACCGTGCCTACTGTGATCGATGATCATTTTCGGAAGGGCCTGGAGCTGTTCCAACGTGGCACCATGTGGACATCAACCAATATAAGTCAATCATCATCAACTGATGACACTTACGACATTGAGGCGGCTGACTTGGGTGCCTAATTAACGAGGTCCTGTGCCAAGGGACTGACATGTCATATCGAGTGGCAGCATTTTCCTTGTTTGGACAGCGCTTCTCTAATTTGGACCTAATCTGTCATATTTGTATATAAGTTTGCATGTCACTTACTCGTATGACCAGTCTGGTTACAACTCTGGCATCGCTCGGAGCAAGTTTGCGCTATCCCAGAGACACCAATTGGTAAACATGGGAACAATTAAAATAAGCTCACCATTGTAGCCATGTTTGCTGCAGTTGCTACACTTTTTCGTGTGAGGGAGAACTGCAGCATTAGTTTCCACTGAAGCAACAGGCTGAGCACACGGGTGCTCAGGTAATGGGAAAACTTGGTGAATGATCGGCAACAACACAGCAGCATAGCGGCTCCGCTCCTCCCAATCAATGAGCTGTATGAAATCTTGCTGAGTTGAGAGCCTGTTAGAATTTGCATGGTAGACAATATCCTCAATGATCAAGTCCCCAAGGACTATCCAGTCTCCAATCCACATGCTGTCCAGTCGGTCGGGATAACGCCGAGAAAACTCTTCTTTTCGCCAGTCCCGAAGAGCATCGCCTAGCTGAGAAGAACAGTTGATGTCTTTCTCGTAGTTGGGTTTTGCATGCTGAGGTAGCCACTTGACAGGCATCTCTCCAAGTGAGTGAGTGAACATTGGTGTGGTGAGACTTGGCGTATGGAGATCACAACAAGTCACGGGTTTGTACAAGTCACAGCGTTTACAGCATTGACAGGGTTTTGCTGACATAAGACTCAGTACATGTCAACGAGATAACTTCAAACACATACGGATATGGTCATTACCAAAGTGAGCATCCAGCACTTTCCTCTGGCACCCATGGCGAGGGTCATCTTTTGGAAGCCAATGGGCATTAATGAAGGCATCCAATCCAGGGTCAACATTCTCGCGATCCCCTGGGTTCCTTTTCTTCCCCTTTGGCCCCTTTGACAGCTTTTTTGTGGTTCCGCAGACACAGGGATTGTCATCTTGGTCCATCATGTTCATCACACCCACTGTCTCTGGTCGCGTCCTGCCATCTGTGGTGAAATTGTAAGCTTCGGGTGGGGATTCTTCCCATGGGCCACTTACGCGCTCGTCCATTTTCGACGGCTTCCAAACTGTGATCCTCCCCAAAATCAGCTAACCTGTCATCCACATCCCCCTCAACATCATCTAGGAAAGCCTCAAGGTCCGTTAACGTCAAGTCATCCCACTCACCCCACTCCTCTTCTGGGTTGGGGCGATCTTGGTTGTCATTGACATGTGCTTTTTCGAATGGAGGTTCCAGAGTAATATCAATGTCGCTGGATGGCCATACATCAATCCTGGGAGGCAAGTTGGGGTCTTGACGATGGAGTTCGAGTAAGTGATCATCAAATTCTTGATTTTCGGGGGCAGTTATGACATGAACTTGATTTTCTGAAGGTAGCTTCGTTTGACACTTCTTCGCTGGCCTCCGCTCACTGGAAGCTGTGGAATCAGCTTTCCGTTCCTTGTTGTCTGCCGTCTTTCGTGCCCTCTCCTCTCGCTGGCGACGTGTCTCTTCAAAATAGTCTTTTGGTGCAAGAAGAACGACGATTGCTGAAATATCCGGACTCCAAGCAGCTCTCCCAAAGCGCTGAGTTAATGTGTTTAAATTGTCTGGTGGCCCAAACTGAACCAAACGGGTCACATTTGCTAGGTCATGGCCCTGTTTGATCTCAATCAGATAATCAATGCTGACATTAGATGCGAGGATAGTCACCAGTCCCAATGATTCCGTGCTTGTAAGTCCAATGAGGTTCCCTTCCTTAAATAACTTGACTACCATCAACTTATGACCGTCTGACATCCCAGAATGCACCCAGACGATTCTATCTTTGAGGGGTGCACATGTCATATCCATTCCCAGCCATCAACTTCCGGTCCTTCCGATCCCTCCGTTCCAACTCCGCTCCTCCCTCACTAACCTTGGAGCCCCTGTTATTCCGCAATCCTCTTGGTACCCTTGATGGTCACCACCCCCTCATTTCAATTTATTACCTATGCCTCCCTAAGTATGGAGCCCCGAAGACTTCCGGACAGCTCCGACATCTGCTAGCGCACCCCCGCCTCCGCTGGGCAATACACTTGCCTGCCCTGCAGAGTCCACCTTCGGGCTTATCCCTCCTTTCCGTTTCTGGGTTATCGCCTGCCTTTCCGCTAACCCCGCGAACCGACTCGTCGGTAATATTCAGTCGGCTAATGGTTAAACCCTGTTAGCTCCGCTCCGTTCGGCTCCGCCAATTGCGGAACCGTCTCCACTGTAACCATATATATATCCCACTTGTACATAGGTTACGCCCCAGTAGAAAAATCAACTAGAGTTACCCCCCTAGGTTCTAATTGCCAGTCAGTAAGTTAGGGCACGGACGTGTCACTAGGCACAGCGCTCTTGGCAGAAGTCGCTGAGGCCGAAGCCCTCCGTTACGGAGACATCTCCTCGTCTCGAGTCTGGTCTCTGACAGCACACACTCGCGACCTCAGGAAGTTGGCGCTGCGCTCAGCATCAGCCCAGGACTCGCAGTACACGAGAAATGGGATTGGAGGAGGATCGGACTCTTGTAGGCCTAGCGGGATGAGGAATCCTAAGTCATTACAGGAATCTTTGCTGTATTGCATTTGGTGGATGCAGTAATGGAGATTCGGACGGTCATTAGAACGACGCAACCATTTTGTTGTCTTTCCACCGTAAGTGCTATAGTATGGGTCCAACCCAATCGCTGACAGCACTTGCCTGCATGTCTGAGGATCCAATGTTGCGGAAGTGAGATACCATTGGCATCTGTTTTGGAGGTACGAGTAAAGCCATGTCAAGTTCTTATAGGATGTGTGGAATGACAGCCACTGGACTGCACAGTGCACCTCATCAACAATGATGCGGTTAATGCTATGGACAAAGTTATCCTTCGTCCAGAGGGCTCGAAGGAGGTTCCCTCGGAGCAAATCGGGCCCCAGCACAACAAACTGATACTTCATGTCTCCGATTGCCTGCTTGGCAATGTTGAATGTATGCATTAATGGTTATCTATTGATTGGTACATGCCTTTACAGTTTCCTTGTTTATAGTACCTGCTTCCAATGCTATTGCTGTAAGCCCTAAACTCTTGGCACTTTCCACATGCTGATCTGCAAGTTTCCTCAGCAGTGCGATTATGAAAGAGATTCCCGGTGTATCTTTTTCAAAAAGGGCAGGAAGGAAAAAAGTGTATGTTTTCCCTGTTCCTGTTGCAGCGGTTGACACTAAATTCTGCTTTGGCTTGCAAAGGAGGAACTCAGCAATTTCAGCTTGGAACCAGCATGCAGGTCGGTTCCATTTGGTTTCACTCAGAGCCCTTATTTGCTCAGCCGAGGGTGTCTGAACACGATCTGCAGGTGCATTCATAGTGTGGGGGGTGGTGAAGGAACCGGAGGTGGTCTCAGAGAAGCTTTTCCATCGGTCCCGGAAGTTGCGGTGGACATCGCCACTGCCATTTTACACCAGTCATCGGAGCGAAGTGTCGTGCGCTGGTTTTCGGAGTAGGTGATCGGACATGACTTTATCTCCGCAACATGTGATCAGATGTATTTCAATATGCAACGTGACCACTTATTATGTATTACAATACAAACGTAACTTGGTCAATTTTTGAAATCGCGTGTTCGCAGTGCGCGTCCACGGAGCGACGACGACTGGGTACGAGTCTGCATCGGAATGGTCCCCTTTTAGGCAACACTTAAGTTCTGCCCCGGGGTACACGCAACAGAGGCAACCACTGCATCCTATTGCCGATATTGATGTCCATTCCGGATGCATCTCAGGATGTGGTGTCTATACTTCTCCACAAAATAACCAAGGTAGATCCACACAACCTTACCGACTCGATCAACGTCGATCTCGATCTCAACTGCAGGAGGGGCTGGGGGGCCTTTGGTGAAGTGTATGTTGCGGTTCTGTGGGACCACTCTCTCGAGGAACAATAGCACCTCGATCCTAATATCCCACTTTCAGGACGTCTGTGTGAAGGTGCTGAGAGAAATGCCTGTCATCGGTACAGGCTGGCTTGGGAAGTTCGTTCGCGTCCGTGTCCTAAATTCCTTCGCGCTCCCTTGCTTTGGCTGAAGCTCTTCACCGTTCAGCGACTCGGATGAGAAGTAAAAGGTTTGGCATAACTTGCACCACAACAATGTTTATCGCTTTCCTCGGCTGGACGCTGCAGCGTACTCACGATAAATTACATGTGAGCCTCATATCAGAGTGGGCTGAAAGTGGGAACGTGATGAATTTCTTGTGCCGTCATCCACATGGGGACCGACTTCATCTTGTCAGTTGGCTGAAAATTTGTGATGCCAACCTCCGCCATCAATGGCCTCGTAAATTAGGTCCGGGGAGCATGTCGAGGATTAGCTTATCTTCATTCATCCGGCATAGTTCATGGAGATATCAAACCAGTGCGTTCATCTGTCATTTCGTACCGTTGTTGCTAATACTGCTTCATTCTTCCGGTGGTCGTGATGGGAAAATATACTTGTTCGAGAGGTGAGCTGTGACGCACAACTGTGCGACTTTGGGCTTTCCTCCATCCTTGACGATTTCACCACACACGCCGAAACATCAAGTGTGGTGAGCAATTATGATGAATAAGTAATCAAGTGATACGAACAGGCTCGCCCTGAGTGATGAGTGGGCCAGGCATATCATTTCGGACGGCACCATGCACTCCTAGGTTCTTATAGTGATGACACCGCATGACGGACGAATATTGTTTCGCAAAGATATCGCTGGTTTGCAAGGGGGATTAAAGGAAGACTACGCGGTTAGTGATGCTCTCCACAGCTATGAGTCTCTGGTGACTCGTGATTCCAACAAGTGAACCGCTAAAGCCGCCGTTACAACATACTCCCTGGTTTCGGTCTGCCTTCCCAGTGCCTGGTGGGGACTCGCAAGTCCCATTGAACAGGGGTTTCCCTGGAAAAATTGTTTCTGCTTCTATGACGTGAGGGTTCAAAAGTTAATAATAGTGGCATGCAACCCACGCATGAAATGAGACCAAACTGCGTCTGCTTGTAGGGACCTATTATATGGGAGTCGGTCAGGCATTTTCCAGGGTGCCTTCTCGTTGTCGTGCACCCCCTGCCATCATGGCAGTTACATATGTAAGATTCAGCCCGATGTCCATTCATCGGCTAGGCCCCTCCCCCTCACATTGAGTTTGGCCGCTTCTCTGATCACTTTGCCATCAGTCATCGAAGATCTGTGAATATGTAATTTGGAACCTCTAGAATCCACATGGGGCTAATACAGCGCTGGACATAGGAACGTGCCCCAGTTCACAGTATAAAAACTCATACTCAACCTGTCTTTGTACTTGCACTCGACCGGATCCGATATATGACAACCGCTCTGATCAACGTCCTTCTTGCCCACAATGTTTATTCAGCACCTACTCCTCTCAATACGACTTGTTTCCTGCAAAATGTATCTGATGGTTGCAACGATCTCCGGAATTGCTGAACGATGTGGGGCATTGTCTATAGCTGTCTCCTTGCCGTGTTTGCTTGCATTTGGATGGCGGTGCACCCGGACCTACCAAAGCCCTCTGATGGTATCTGGCCACCCAAATCGCGCATTGGCTTAATGATGGTTTCACTGGTTTCACCAGAGGGCATTCTGGCGTTTGCATGGCACCAATTCTTGTTGTCATGGAGAATATCAAAAAAACACAAGATGGTTGAAGGTGTGTCCTGAATTTGAGAGAGTTAAGAAGGGACAGGGCACTGACTTGTACCGGTCACAAGGGTGGACCTTGACGCATTCATACTTTGTCGTCATGGATGGTTTCTTTGACCCATCAAAAGGAGGAGCGGCGGGCCTGAATGACTTGGAGCGATACCCCGGCATAATTAAGACTGGGAATACTAGAAAGGCCGCAATAGCAACAAAGCAGGAAATACTTGACAGTGTTGGAGGAGCAAGTCATAACGGGTGTTGTGCACTTTCCATACTTGTCTCGATGTGTATTTACATGTATTTACACCGACAAATATATCTTCAGAGTCTACTGCCATCCCAACCGAGCCGCCGCACTGAGTGGTGCAACTTTAGACAGAAGCAAAGGCGATGCGTTTTCCAAATTTATCATTGTCCTTCAACTACTGTGGTTTATCACCCAATATGTCGGACGATGGGCAAGCCATTTACACAGATCGCAACTTGAGACAATGACGCTGGCGTATGCAGCATTATGTCTCTTTGTTTACGTGTTGTGGTGGCATAAACCCGTTAACATTCAATTCCCAATCCATGTGACGGAAGAAGAGCCCCGTTCCGTTCCCCCGACGTCCGAGACAAATGTCGATCAACCAACACCTAAAATGGAGACCGATGTAGATCAGATGTCCCTCGTGCGGGTGCCTGGACCCGGGGATGTGGAAGACATTTTCATATTTGCAGCCACCGGAATGATCTTTGGGGGAATTCATTGCCTTGCATGGTCGTTCCCCTTTCCGACACGCGCGGAGATGATTCTATGGCGAGTTTCAGTGATATATATCACAGTGGCTCCTGTCTTTGTAGCGTTGGGCATATGGGTTGAAGCTCGTGTTAATGGTGCTGTGAGTCAGGGTATAGTACTAACATTTATTTCACTTGTTTACACTGCTGCACGGGTCCTCCTGCTTGTTCTCACCTTCAGTTCTTTGCGTTCACCTCCACCTGATCTATACCAGACCCCGTCTTGGTCATCGTTTCTCCCGCATTTTGGTTAAAGTTGTGTTTAATTACAGATGTCAACGAGGATCGCTGCATGTTTACAATCGAACATGACCCACGAGTGCAGTTGCATTTGAGATTAAGATTCATGAGATCACAAGTTACACGTAAATAAGCGCTTCTTGCATTCCATTTGCTCTGTGATGAGGCGATATCGTTCAATAATATAACGGAAGGGACCATTGGCCCACCAATCCTCCGTGCTCCCATTGGTCAGTGTTCTTCTCGTGCTGGGGCACTGGTATCGAGTGGTCGACGGCTTGGGTTAGGGTCTACATTGGGTGCAAGGTGTTTATCTGGATAGGAACTCGTAGCATCTGACGGCGGGTCTTAATTTGTGAGTCATCATCATGGGTTCTGATCTTGAAAAGAAGCACTAACTCAAATTCAGCAGCAGTTTGGGACGAGATTCAAAACATGCTGAAATGCACTTTTCGATATTACCCCTTGTGACATCCGCACATACTACACAATCTGATCGATAGGAATCTGAATCACATATCAATGTTTAGGTTTGATACTTCTGAGCATTACTCTCACCTCAGAATCGTACCCAGCCGTTCTGTTTATGATGTGAACGACTGGGTCCGAGTCTGCTCTCACCTCCACAGCGGTGCACTCAAAACCCCAAAAATCGAGCTTAGAGCATTTGGGCGCATCGTAAAATCATCGAGGATCGTGGAAAACCCAATATCGGGTAGTTGCGCTAATGACGATCATTAGTAGAGGTGAAGTAGCAGTAGAAAAGATGAACGATATTTACATGAATTACGCCACATGAATGAAGATAGATCAATCCTCGACACGCTCCTCGGACCCAGTTGACCACCAAAGTCATTGTTTAACGTGATGGAGTTTGGCATCACAAATTTTCAATCAACGAACGAGATGACAGCGGTCCACAAGTAGATTACTGCGCGAGATGTCCTTCACGTTTCCACCTTCAACCCACTCCGATATCATGGCCACATGTCACATGGGCTGTGGCATCTAGCCGAGGAATGAACAACATTGTCGTGATCGCAAGCCATGCCAAACCTCCACTTTTCGTCCGAGTCGTTGAAAGAAGAAAGGATTGTAGTGAAGGAAATGGAGTGCTAGGGAAACGATAGGGAGTCCAACAAATTGGCCAAGCCAGTCTGCGCTGATGACGGGAACATCTTCCAATTCCTTCACGCAGATGTTCTGAAGGCAAAGTTATGGATCATATGATGTCGCGGCTGCAGTCATTCCTCAAGAAAACGAACGCACAGAACCGTGGAATTCAGGTCAGAAAGTCCCCCTGCTCTTCCTGCGGTCGAGATGGAGATCGACACCGACCAAGCCAGTAAGGTTGCGTGGATCCCCCTTCGTCAGTTCGTCTAGGAGTGCAGTTGCTGTGTTTTGAGACGCGTTTAAAATGGACATTAGAATAGTAGTAATCGTAATGCTGTTGTGCTCGCGGTGTGAGCACCGAAACGAGTTCTCAGAAGTTAGAAGTTAAGTGTGCAGGTACTCGAGTTACGCGTAAAGTGAAGCACTATTCAGTCTTCAGCCCGCCACTGGCACTATGATTTTGAATCACCGCTAGTCTAAATGTAGAAAGCTTATATCCCGGAAGTCTCAAGTAAACTGTAACCACACGACCAAAAGCCGCGAGTGTGATGGCACAGGAGAGTCACCTAGGTAACCAAGTAGCACGAATGCCCACCACAGAGACATGTTAGGCAGGTGAGAAACATCCCCAGGATGAGACCAACAACCATCCTGACTCTGATAAGACGTGCGCACGATTCGAAGCAGTCCCATTTGATGAAAGGAGGCCAAGCAAAAGGACGACAGAAAAAAACCCGAAAGAGCTGACCTAAAGAAAACAAAGGATCGGCGGATAAAAATATGGAGCGGGTAAAAAAAAAAAAAACAAGTACCGGGTTCGAAGATGTGAGCAGGGGACGCACGGAACCAGCAGGTGCTAGTGGCAGAAACAGATAGCGGTTGAAGGCAGACAGTCCGGGACATGCAGGAGCAATAACACTAGATTGGCAGGGCAAAACGCGGGGGTTGACAGATCGGGAGAGGCTGCAGCGGGTACAAAGCTAGCACAGTAATCATTGTCTTCGTTCCCCCCAATGAAGGCGACGTTTTTCCGTTTTCGGCCCTGCACTTCGCCAAGGTTCGAGGACCAATGACCGCTTGATTACAACTCGCCTCCGTTTTCAGCCAGGTAATCCACAAAGTCGCTTATCTGACCGGTGACGGATATTTCGCCCGCAACACCAGCAAAATCCAGATTGTTGCATGTCGAAGTAAGGTGTTTTCCCCAAAGGGTGAATTTGGGATTGAACCGCTGAGCCTGACGATGCCGATAGTGGCGCTGGCGGCAGTGGATGAGTCTCTTGTTTGACGTGCCGGTCGCGGAAGGCACAGATGTATGCGAGAGTGCCGGTCGATAATCGGATGGGTGACATGGGTCACTGTATTATCGGATGTGACGCAATAGCTACGCCCAGGCCGTTGGATGTAACGTCGACTTGACCCGCACTCTGCAAACATGTTGTTGCTATTCGCCCGATGATGCCTGGGAGTCTCTGCTACATGCGACATGCGCAGCAGGGGCGGTGAGAGGCTGGCCGGATCTGGCCGTTCTCAGTTGCTTAAGGCACGCACCAGATACCGGAAGGTCCTTCCACGAAAGTGGCAACGTCGTTGTATGAATGGACTCGACAAATAATTATGATGCTGGGATCCGCTTTGCAATGTACCTAGCCAACTTGTGGGCCCGGCTCCTGCAACCTATGGGTCATCGTATGGCTAGGATTCGAAAAAAAAGTGCGCTTGTGCAAGCTCCGGGACTGAGTAGGAGCTTGGCGATTCGAAAGCTATGAGGCGACATCCGTTGTCTGGTGACTTGTACCCCAACAGGGAATCCCTAGTGGCTGATCAGTTCTCTCGAATAGTGATACGGAGTGAATTCATCAACTTTGCCTCTATGCTGGCGCGTGTTCAACGCGCGCATCTACGGTGTTTAATTTCTGACTTGCATGATGCGCTTCTCACACTTCCTCATTGCGGTTGACCTTTCCAGTGCCCCATGGGGTTTCATAAGTTGCGTTCCCCCGCTGCTCGAGTTTTTTCCTGGCAGGCCCTGGGAAATTAATCAGAGGCGGAATCAATTGTTTCTGCTCTGCGACGTCACGCAAGTTCCAATGCACGCAATCAGGCAGCAATTAGACCAAACTGAGTCCGAGTGAAATGTGTTTGAAGCTGAATGAGGATGCGCGCGGGTATAATTTTCACTGCTTCTTGAGTTCAGAAAAGCTTCAGGATCTGCATTGATATCTTCACTTTGCGTGCTTACCTGCTTGATGGCTGCGCAGGAACCCAGAATATCCTGATATGTGAAAGTCCGGAATGGTTAGCCATTTCCCGAGATGCTGCATTTGCCTAGCTCTTGGGCATAGTGTTTGCTCATTGAATTCACTGATCGTGTCACGGCAGTTAAGTTCAGGCTGGTCAACCCTCTCTCGGAGACCTTAAGAGGTGGGGTATTTGGCTGAATAAAATAGGCCTAATGGGCCAAAACGAGGCTGTATATCCAAGGATATACAAATCCCAAAGTGCGGCGAACCGGGGAAAGTTGCGCGAACATTCATGTATATCCTTGTATATACATGGATATCCTTGTATATACATAGACCATGTATATACAGGTGGCACCTGAATACATTTGCCGCGGCTGCCGATGTCATGTGGTCCGTTGCCACATGTTACTGCGGAGTTGTCCGAATTTATTGTTATATTGTTATATCAATCTCTCTCCTCTCGGTCGATGTTGGGTCCCCCGCTTTGCAGGTTGCTTAACGTGGCTTGGGCCACTGCGGGCTGAAGGTGAGACCCTCTCTTTTCATATTTCATACGTTCTTCCGTTCGACCGTCGCACCTCTTGCGTTTTTAATGTCCTTCACCTCTCCTTATGGCGAGGCGGAGGCGAGAGTATCGCCGTTGTTTGTCATGATTCTCCCTGACAAATACTGTATCCTGAGTATCATAGTGCTGCAGATTTGCTGCATTGCGCCCTTTCCTGTCGATGACGTGGACTTTATGCTTCTGACGCGCGAGCTCCTCTGTCTCCTTCAGTCATCCATATCATCCTGTCGCTTCCGCTTCCCGTCACGTCGCCATTCTATGCTTAGTGTGATCTTCAAGTCTATATGGCTGGGATACCGGCAGTCCGTCCCCCTGGAATGTCTCAAACACGCCCTCCATGACACCTGTCTCTCCTGGGCCGCATCCCCTCAACGTTAAGTACTCTCCCGCATTTAGGTTAAGTCCGGTGGCCAACCAATTTCTCGATATCATGAAGGATTTCAAAGTCGATCCTCACGCTTGGCTGTACACTATTGAATTCCATGACCAACGCTCTCATCGTAACAGGATGCCACTTCTGCAAAGCAACCCGTCAAACTTGCCGGTGTCATTAAAGTTTTGGGTTGAACTGGCTCTCGCGGAGGTGTGACCCAGGTCTGCAGATTTCTGCAGCTCATCCGCAGGGCCTAACGTCACCCACAGGTTCGTATTGAGTTGATGGACGAGATGCAACGCTCTATCATTCGAAATGTCAAGGTACCAGTTCGTGAGTTGGATGTCCTTGCCCTCTTGGAGTCTGAGCGTGAATTCAGCTCAGTGTGTCCAGTGACTTGCTAGACAGTAACAATATCCGCTGATGATAATTTTCGGCATTGATTTTCTTTTTCAACCCTGTGCATCTATTGAGATTTGCATATTGAAGAGTTTGACCTATGTTCCGCTATCAATTCCACATGGGAATGAAGCGCCTTCAGGTTGATTCCACGCTTGTCGTTGTGTATTGAAGCCGAAGGTAAGCGGGAAAAGTACCATTTGCAGACATACTGTGATTTAGAGTGTGCACATCATTGTATAAACCTATTGTAAAGAAGCTTCTCAAGTCATCAGGTGCGTAGCAGCAACCCACTACGATGTCGCACACGCCTGAAACACAACATAGTTACATCTTTTTTTAAGCTTTGCAACCGCCACAATCCCCTCCGTAACGGGAGGGATGCTACACACGCACTCCCCCTCCTATACATATAACCCTCCCCGTCATCATCCGAGTCATCAAACAACCTCTTTATTCCATTGTATTTTCCATCTTTCCCTTGTTAACATGCATGCAAGAACTCACCGGGGGGTTGCGGGAAGGGGTTGACTGTCTATTCATACAGCGAACAGAAAACGAAATGATGAATTAAAAAAAAAAAAAAAAGGGTAGAAAGAAACAGAAAGAAACAGAAAAAGGGAAAAGAGACAAGGAGGAACCCGAGTTGGGCCCATGCTTAAGTATAACCATCCCCAGGTCTGTGCACAAGAACTGATGTGGGAAGTTGCCAATACTTACGGGGAGATCCGAAGGCATAGTTGGACTATATATATATATATGCGGAGTTGTCCAAAATATATTGTTATATTGAATGCCACGCCCCGGATGTATATATAAAACATTCTAATCTAGAGATGCGCCACCTGCCTCAGCTGCCTCTATTAACCGTGCAAGCATTTCATCTTCTTCCTCTGAACCATTCAATTCAAACATATCACTCTCGTCGCTGTCGGACCTGACAGAACCATCGTCAGGCACCCTGTGGACTGGGGGTGAATGGTTTGGGTTATGATGTTTAGCAAGAGCCTGAACTTCGGGCAGACTATGGAACGCGTGAAGAGAGGGTGGAGGGTCATTGGGAGCCCAATCTTTTGTACCAGCGGAGATCTCGAAAGTTTTGGTACTTCCTTCCCAGCGATTTTGTAGCTTATGAAGCCTGTGAATCCGCATGAGGGAAAAAAAGGCAACGTCAACATCACTTCCAAGGGCAGCAAAGTATAGGTGAACGGCTCAGTAACTCTCCTCCCATATCCATTGACGGAGATTGGCATGTTCAGCCTCGCATCTGGCAATCTCAGATTGGCAGCTGACAACCATCTGTGCCGAAGGGATACCTTCCTTTACACATGGATCAGCGAGCCATGCCGGTAGCTCTTCGAACTGTGAAGGATCACAATCTTGCCATATATCTTGATCTACATCCAACTTATAGAGACCCTCCTTTCTGAGCGGTGAGGGAAGCCATGCATCTTCAGCAACCCCATTTCTCCCTCTCATCTCAGCCAATTGTAAGATCTTATCGTTATACTTCTTCAGAGTGGCATCAACTCCAGCCGAACGACGAGAGACTGCTTTGTCCACATGATCTCGTAAACTCTGGTCAGCGACTCATCCTCCATGAGATTGATCAAGTCGTTGCAGCTCCTGTTTTCTTGCACGTAATTTGCGGAGTAACTGATCACGCAGCACACGAAGGTTCAAAAAGCCATTTGCCCATACATCCTTCTCTGCCTTCTTGAGTTCCTCATGTGTATCATCCTTAGCCTGCAACTCCTTCGTGGCCTTCTCTACAGAACTCCTCAGCCTCGCGATGCTGCTGTCAAGGACATCAACGCGTTCCTGCCAATCTGCCAGGAGGAGTTCCGCCACTGAATCAGAGCCGGTAGGCATATTGCACCTCAAGTCTTCTAGAAGTGACCTAGAACTCTCAATGGTTGCCTTCCAGCCCATGATGGCCTCGATCTTGGTGCGGACGGGAGTCTTGGTTTGCCGAGCTTGAGGCTTCGAGTGATACTGACGCTGTGCCTTGAAATGTTCCAGCATGTCATCCACATTCTGCTCCTTGAGGGCCTGTTGAGCCGACTCGAGACGTTTCTTGGCATTTGTGATGTGATGGTGCAACCAATTCCCCAAATCCAGGCACTTCGTATCAGTGATATGGCTCATCTGCATGTCAAGCACAAAGAGACGACGGTGGTACCCCGCAACCCGAAGACTTGGTATGAGCTGTCGCAGTTCACTCCAAAAACGCTCACACACTTCACCATCCGAAAGACCCCAGACACGATCCTTCCGAGGGTGATACCATAGCTGACAAGCCCATTGATGTCCATAGGCGTGAAAGATAGAGACGCCCCACACCAGACGTGACCGCCACTCAGGTGCAATGTTCCACTTGTGAAGCGCACGATCAGTCTGGCAACCAATGTCATACAGGCACCCGATGGTCCACGACGAAGGGAGATGCTCTATAAGCTTCCCGAGTAATGAAAGTATGTAGAACTGTTGTTCCCCTGGAGTCCAAACGCTGACGTAGAATAACGGTATGCCGTGACGACAGACAGCAGACATAATGCCCGTTTCGTCGAAGTACTTCTTGGATGCCTTCTGGCGCTCCCTGTCGGCAGCCGTGAACGAGCCTTCACAGCCATCATACGTGCTCTCTGTCAGGTTGAGCCCTGGGGTGACATGGTTTTGCTTGGAAAGATCGTCCTTGCCGCTACCCATGTTTCCTTTGCCTTTCGAAGCCCGAAAATTCCGTTTGGGTTCACATATTTCAGCAACCTTGCTCTGCCACATCTCAGCATAACCGCGGGGAACCTCAATTGTTTGAGGTGACGTCATTTTGGGATCCTGAGAACCAATCTTGTTCAATCTGCGGTACTGGGGCCTCCTATCATAGTCTTTGATCCTCTTCAGCTGAAAATTTGCATCGAACGAAACGATGCAATCTGCTGACAACTCGGACGTGGGACTAGATGTAGAGCCGAAACAACATGGACACCTTCCCCGGAGGTAGTCACTGGGGAGGTCAGGATGTGAAAATGTAGGGGATGTATGAGCATTTCGATATTCTCACGCATCGATCGAAGTGTTCTCATCCAAATTTACATGAACGGTCGGAGCTTGAAGAACGCTGGGTATGCTGGACGTTAAATCTGATGGGATCTTGGGATCTGGATGGGAAGGATCGACATCCATGTCTGATTCCAGAAGGCAATTTGAGACTGAAGGTGGCGAGGATGGTTCGCGGAGGTGGCCAGGCAGAAGACGAGGTGGAATGGGGATGGCGCTTGCCATGCGGTCCATCTCTGCATCGACGAGTCTGATGAGCAATTGATAGTGCACAAGGGAGTTGCTAAAGCGACGACGAAATGAACTCGCAGTCTCGAAATGATGCCCTTCACGCTGAAGCATAATTTCGGCAGTTGTTGTCCACACCCGTATGTTCGGTGCCATGTGTAAGAACAGCGTAGAGGCCCAGTCAAGCATTACCATGCTCACAGCAAGTTTGGGTCGGACTGGGGCACAGGGAAACAAGCCGCATTCGACGAGCTGCACAGTGAGTGTTTGCTCTTCACAATGCCTTATCTGCCGCTTCTCAAGCCGTGACATGTAGACGCAGAGCACGTCATCCACTCGGTGAGGGCCGGCACAATCACAGTGCTGATGGGGTTCACTTCGTTCTGATGAAGCAGAACGTTCCCGCATCCACTTCATATACGGTCGTATCAGACGCGGCAGGACATCTACGTGCCACCGCGTCCTCTGATGGTTGCGTCGCATGGCATGCTTAGACATGATATCAAGGGGTAACGGTGGGGGGGCTGGCTCACATGTCTTTTCCTTGCCGGAAATGACGTGAAGAGACTCAGATATATATTCGTCCATAGGATGAGGTGAGGTGTGGGGAGGGGAACTAGGATTTGCGGCTGAAGGACCCTGAGATGAAGTGGGGGCATCGTGTAATGGGGCCAATTTGAACTTTTGCCTCTGGAATTCCTCGTATGCTTGGATGCAGGGGATACTGCTGACTGGGGTCGTCCTCACGATACCCGATTTCTGTTCACGCTTGAGAGCATCCCGAACTCGACGCTTTGCTGACTTTTTGTAATTGGAGTACATCTGAACAATCGCTGTCGGCCAACAATGTAAAGCACCAGTGAAAATACACTCACGTTAAAGCGTAAAGAAGATCAATACACAGGTGTAGCAATATTGAAGTTACTAAGCAAGCGAGTGTACAACGCTAAGCAATGGACACACGATTGCAAAGTGAGAGGCCAAAGGAACTAAGCAATCAGGCCTCGATGTCAGACAACAAGGCGCTTGGTCACAGAGTTCGAACAAAGGATTCAAATCCGACGTGGCCGAGGGGACTAAACGATCAAGCCTTGACGTCAGACAACAAGGCGTTCGACAGCAGAGCCCAAACGACAACACAAAAACAAAACTAATCAACGCCAAAATGAAAAGGTTTCGATCGCAGAGTACAGATGGAAAAGCAAGGGATCTGAATGGAAGAACTTGCATGAGAACTTGCGTCTGGACTGAGAGGTTTCACTTACGAGGGCTCGGGGGCTGTAGCAAGCGAGTGGACATTGAACTATTCCAGGTCACGCCCTCTCAGTTGCTTCCGAAAGGGTCGGCTCCGACGCGGGATCATTGACATTATGATAAGATCCCAGGAATAGTGGTGTGACAAATGCAGAGAACAGGACAGTATAAGTGAAGAAGGGTGAGCTAGCATAGCGTGCAAACCAAGGTAATATACAGAAAGGAAATTCTGAATGAACGGAATTTCCCATATAGTCGGAATAAAGGGACATGTGATAGATTCTGGGCGAGTTACTCGCTCAGCTGCTTTGTAGCGGAGTTGGCCGAATTTATTCATTTATTCGCCCAGCCGTGCGAACGTGGCTGTTGCAAAACCCGGATTGATATGTAATATTTTAGACTAGAACACCTAGCGTTGCATGACCACTCAGTTCTAGACATGTAAACTACATAAATCCATTACTCAATAGTTACCTAGTGTTGAATGAACGCTAGTTACAGTTACATAATATGAAATTACTACATTACTGTAAACGGACCTCAGTTCTAGATACATTGATAAGATTCCAGGAATAGTGGTGTGATAAATGCAGAGAACAGGACAGTAAAAGGAGGCCCAATATTCTTCAGGATCGACGGGTTGATAAGATTCCAGGAATAGAGATGGGAAGCTCTGTAGATGGGCTAAATGCAGAGAACCGGACAGTATAAGGAGGCTCAATATTCTTTGAGGCCGACGGATTGATAAGATTCCAGGAATAGCGGTGTGATAAATGCAGAGAACAGGACAGTAAAAGGAGGCCCAATATTCTTCAGGATCGACGGGTTGATAAGATTCCAGGAATAGAGATGGGAAGCTCCATAGATGGGCTAAATGCAGAGAACCGGACAGTATAAGGAGGCTCAATATTCTTTGAGGCCGACGGATTGATAAGATTCCAGGAATAGAGGTGTGATAAATGCAGAGAACAAAGGAGGCCGAATATTCTTCGGAACGACGGAATGATAAGATTCCAGGAATAGAGATGTGCTGAACCTGACAGTATAATGTGGCCCAACATTCTTTGAGGCCGACGGATTACATAATAAGATTCCAGGATAGAGGTGTGATAAATGCAGAGAACAGGACAAGGCCGAATATTCTTCGGAATCGACGGAATGATAAGATTCCAGGAATAGAGATGTGCTAAATGCAGAGAACCGGACAGTATAAGGAGGCCCAATATTCTTTGAGGCCGACAAGATTCCAGGAATAGAGGTGTGAGAACAGGACAGTGAAAGGAGGCTGTCAGGGACCGACCTGGGGTCGAGAGCGCCCGGGTGTATCGCCCGAGGCTGAGGGTCCGGTAGGTATGACGCGAGCGCGCGTAGCAGCGGGCCCGAAGCAGACAAGGGTCCCTGGCCACTAAGACTAAAGTGGGAAATGTGAGAAGAAGGTTGCTTCTCAGTTCCCACTTAGGCTGTGTTTATATACATGTGGTTGAAGGGCACGTGGGAAGCGCCACGTCATCCGAGCACACAGCCACCTCCGTCTGGGTACCTCCGTAAGAGGTCCTAGGAGCGTCCGGTGTGCGGGGGGTCGTCCGGTGTGTCCGGGTTCGGGCGCGTTACGCTGCAGCTGGGTCAATGGTACATTGATACAAAGGAAGTCGTCCGTGTGATAAGAAAGGAATAAAGAGGAGAGAGAATAGAAAAGAAGGAGAGGAAGGAAGGGAAGGGAGAAAAGGGGAAGAGGGGGGAGGTCAAGAGGAGTGGATGGTGGGGCACCGGGTTAGGTGGGGCCGGGTCAGGCGGGCGTGCCCTGACAGAGGCCCAATATTCTTTGGGATCGACGGATTGATAAGATTCCAGGAACAGAGGTTTACTAAATGCAGGGGACCGGACAGTATGAGGCTTAATATCTCTTTGAGACCAACGGATTGATAGGATTCCAGGCATAGAGGTGTTATAAATACAGAGAATAAGACAAAATGGGGCTAGCGATATCGTCGCTCAGTCCCATAGTATGTGAACTAGAAATATATTGAAGTAATCACGTCGCTGGTGTACAAGAATGAGATACAACTTGACAGACACAAGAGTAAAGGGAAAAGCTTATATTCACCTCAGTCCCGTAGTACATGAACTGAGGAAAAGTCGTAAGGTCCAAAAATTGTGGTTTATATAATCAGCGCTGTGAATGCGCACTATCTTTGGCAGCAACCGAGCCAAATCAGGCAAGAAAAATAAATCGAAGGCGCCGCAAGACTCGACATAAACAAAGTGAGTTGGCCTCAGCGTGTGCTTGAATTTGAATTGTAGTATAAGGAGGTCCAATATTCTTTGAGGCCGACGGATTGATAAGATTCCAGGAATAGCGGTGTGATAAATGCAGAGAACAAGACAGTATAAGGAGGCCCAATATTCTTTGATACCGAATCCAGTAAGTATAAACATTCGCAGCTTGATAGCCGTCACTTCGCGGAGTCGGGACCCATCGTCGCTGCGAGGTGCACTCCGAACTATTCTCACGGGCTCCGGAAACGTGACTCGCCCATTGTCAGCCAATATTGTCGGCAATCCCAGAAGGTCACGCTGCTATAGTGAAGCGGACTTGGCCGAATTCATTTGTCTAATCATTTCGCTCCACAATCGTACAATCGTTCGCTCCCCAGCTCAAACAATGTCTCAAAAACAGTACCCTTCCATGAACCATGCGGCCACTGAGCGTGGTTTGGCTTCCTCTACATCCAAGGGCACTGGGCATGTGGCGGGCGACAACACTGGGCAACCGTCTCTCGTTTCTGACGCAGCCGACAAGGTCGCTGCGGAGAAACGACCTACGGGCGAACCCATCACCTCTTCTGGTCCCTCGACCGCTAAGGTTAGCACGATTTTCCTTCGTCAAAAGCTAGTTCTCATTGTTCCTTGTTTACAGCCAATACCTCGTAACTTGCGTTTTACCAAAAAAAAGCCAACGCCATCCAACGCCGGTACTTTGTCAGGTTCAGCTATCCAGCCCAGCCCCTCCCATCCGCCAGCGGTTGTCCCGGATGCCCCTGGTCATGGGTTCGGTGGTGGAGAGCCGCGATTCTCATTGCCAGAACGACCTGGGTGGGTCATCGTCGAATTTGAAGGCAGCACTCCAGTGCCTTTGACGCCTTCAGAACGGTATCCAGTTCTCGATCCTTTCAATTACGACTGTGTTTCTGGTCATCTACGGCGCACTACTGTACGTTGGCTGCGGGATCAGTGGCCCATGACCGAATCTCGACTCAAACGTCTTGAGGATGTCATCAAAGAGGATAATGAACTTTTCGGTGTGTTGGATCCATCTCCTCATGTCGTGTCACTCAATCTAATTGTGGGCACTTTTAAATCATTCGTTAGCGTCTGTCGACGTATACTGTGTTATACATTGGCGACTAGTCGCATCAAACAGTATGAAGGCAAAAGCCTATCATTTTCAGGGGTATCCAGAAGGTTTTTCGGCTGCGGATCCATACGATCGGCAAGGCACTCTCCCCCTCTACGACGGTCATTCATGGGGATACCCCAGGATTGATCCAAGTGACATTGTGGAGAACCCCACCATTTATCGTTTAAGCCGTCCTCACTATCCCTACCTCACCCGCTATGCCGATGACCCCCCCCTCGATTACCACAGTATAATACAAGATGATTTCCGTAACGCTAGGCCGTGGATAATGAGTCAACACCTTCGCGAGAGGCTTGTCAATTGGTTCGAGGTCGTCTACGAGTTATACTTGGCCTGGAACCACCTTGCGTGTTGTATTCATATTGTCCCCTTCAGGCCTTCCTGGTCTTCCCCATCCCATCAATTTGCGTCCCTTTATCCCTTCTGTCCCCAACAAACAGGCCATAACCCTGATCCTCTCGTTCTTGCAGACTTCTGCCGTGGCGTGTATGAGATGAGAGCCTGGTGCACGTATGCTATGTTCACCATGGTTGACGTAATCCATCAATCCATCCGCCGGCCACTGTTGCATCATCCAGTTGATGAAAACATGATGGGCGCTACTTTCTTCGATGACCTTGATTTGTCCGATAGTAATATATCGACTCTTCATCGTCACGGTGTCCCTATTTTTCAGGTACGGGTATGGGACGGTCCACGAACAACAGAAAGACCTCAGATAACCGCACACATCGCGACAAGCCGCCCAGTCAGGGTGGAGCAACGTGTTCGAGTAAATCTCTTCTTTGAGGAAAGCGCGTTGAGCATCCTTCGGGCTTTCCCCTGGATAGTCCATCCACTGACAGAGGCGAATATGAAGCAAAGTCTTGTGTGGATTGTTGCGGACGAGCTGGGCCTGTCTAAACCCCCTCGGCCGATTGCCCTCCCCCAATGTACGTCCACTGTGCTCCAAAAGCACTTTGGCAGAGGTGTTAATATCGAGGCTGTTGCCAAGTCGGAGGCGGTCCACCAACCAAGAGGTTTCCACGCTCAGCCTGATCCTCGTCCCTCTGCTCCTCCGCATTTCCCTCCTCCACCTCTGCCCCCTTGATCGTAGGCCACACAGCCTCATGACTACAATCCCAGCATCCCCTTGATCGTCGTCACCAGTCCACCCACGTTCTCCCCCCTGTTGCACCCCCCGTTGCAGCGCCTTCCACTTCAAGTGCGCCTCCAATTCCCGACAGCTCAGGCAGCTCGGATAGTGGATGTGAATTGGATATAAGCACAACCATGGTGATGCAGCGGAAGTATCCCCAACAGCAGGGTGAAAGCAGGCAGGCCTATTCGAGGCGAATTTATAAGGAACTTCAGCGGGTGAAGGAAACACTCGATCATCCAGAGGGGCGATTATTGATAGCTGGCGCATACCTTGGGAGCGAGATCTGTTTGAAGCGGATATCGGAGGAACAAGCCAAGCCAGCACTGGGTAACAAGGCTGGCAGAGGGGTGCGGACATCCACTCTACGTCTGTATCTTGACAAGTTGTGGCCCAATTCACAGCGACGAGCGATGATGTCCGAAACCGAGCTCCAACAGCGTCGGAAGGATAGTTTAACTATTCTTCGAGACTCAGGAACATCCTTTGAGGATCTGCCCCCAGGCGTTCTGTCTGAGCTTGCTGTCTCACGACCGGCTGTGATGGACATTGATCCACCTAGTACGATGAGGCCTGTGGGACCACTAGCGTCAATGTCTGTGGGCCTTGTTGAGCCTCAGTTGTCAAGCGAGGTCCAGGCAGGCGGTACTGTTGAGAGGCCTCGGACGCCACCATCTCACCTCATGAAGCGCTCTTGGTCTACAGTTCAATCGCCTACATCGCCCCCTTGAACGAGGGGTGTCTGTCGCTCAAGAATTTGATGGGCACAGGTAGTGCAATGGAAACATATCCGCCAGGTCTTTCCTTAGTTCAGTTGCGATGCTCCTCTTGACCAAGAGTTTAGGATGCACGTCGGCCACCAAGTAAACGTGTTTGTGTATGTGTATTTGGTCCGGTGCCGAGAACGTCACGTTATCGCCGCCATAGTTCAAGTACTTGTTCTACCGCTTCATCACACAGAGTTACAGGGATCCTCACCCACGTCTTTGGCGCATCGTCACGGAGTGGTCGGGCTTTCTTGTTCAACCCCCTCCCCTGTTTTCGCTTGCACACCTTTATTGACATTTGGTGCATGCTTACGACGCGCCAACATCGTAAAATTGTTTCATTTGTCCCTTGCATCATTGGCTTGAAGAGTTTGACAATAACCTTTCGCTGAAAATAACAAGCCTGTCATCTCATTTCGTTTCCAGACGGTGAGTGTTTTACTTTTGACATTCAAATTTCGCATAGCATAACCGACACGCAGCCAGCCACCCGCCCACCGCCCATGTCGTCAGATTCTAATACCCAGCGCTGTCTCCGCCCCAGACCCAATCCAAAGTTAACAACCTCAACTGCACCTGACAGTACGGATGATTTTTTCCTCATACGGCGAAATGCTGCCTTGCCGCCACCCACCTCCAGTGCGGAGCCATCTGCTGTGCCTGTGGCCCCCCTGAGACCTAAACGTGCTGCTGCACACAACTCGAAGAAGAAGGTTTCGCCCTGACGATCCAACATCCCTTCCCCTTCCACTCCCTCTTCTAAAATTGTGCTGAAAATCCCTCGTCGTCCATGCACCCACGCTGAGCTGAACGCGGCACCAGCTTCCCTTTCCTTGACCACTGCTGGTGAATCCAGTTTCTGTGAGCCACCATCGAATCCTGAAGCTGGTGAGCAGGTCAGTGGCAACCATGATGCCGCAGGTGACTCCACTTGCCTTGACCCGCAACCCAAGAGCACCGAGGCCGAGCCAGACGCGGCACCAGCTCCTACTGCCCTTGATGAGCGTAATCTCCATAAATCACAGCCAAACCCTGAATCCAGTGAGCAGGTCAGCAGCGAGCCCGACACTACGGGTGGACCCAGTTGCCGTGGTCCGCTACTCAACAATTTCGAGGCCAGCGATCAGGCAACTCACCCTGTTGTCAGCACTGGCAGCCTCCCTAGCAGCACAATTGCCAATAATACTCCCCTTGTTGGCCAAACTGTTAATGGTGAGGCTGGCGGGTTTGATGATGATTCCAGAGAACTGAATTTGATTGGGGACCCCTCCGGGGTGAACGTGAATTACCCAGAGCTTGAGGATGTTGCGGCAGCCAAGATGGATCTGATCAATTCCTTTGATGATCCTGAGGCAGATGTGTCTCCCCTAGTGGCTGGACGTTACTCAAAGGTGGAAATTAAGGAGCTAGACGCTATTTATCAATCCTTCCTGATTTCCGTCAATGACTGGGCTGAGAGTCGACATCGCACCATCACCTCCGCACTCAATCATATCAGCCTTGCTTTTGCTACCCGTGAACGCCGTGCTTCGGGGAACCCATGGAATGCATACCTCGAACTCAACCCCAATCCGGATTCCAGCATGCGTTATGACCAGTACATTCAGAACATTGCTCGGCCCAACTATAACAAGCTTACTCAGGATCATGGTGGAAAGGGCAGCCAGGGCTGGCAGGCTAAGGCGCAAGAATTGATCCAACTTCAGGACGCAAAGAAGTGGGATAGCATTTCAATGATCCGAGATGATGCCAAGGACCAGGGGGGGATGATAAAGCGGATTGTCAAGAGCTGGAAGCAGGATTCTGTTGCAGCACGTTTCGCTGGCATTCACATGGCCATGATGATTCTTCCATCCCATAAGGCTGCTTCCGACATGGGCACCTTCGAGTCCAATTCACCACATCTGCACCAATTTATCACTAGTAAGCTCGGCAAGGAGACTACATTTATCCCTGAGCTACACAGTATAATTTCGGGTGTTGATGCACCGGCTACAGAAGCCGTGGGACGGGACAAATTAAGGTCCAAATGTCGGGAATATTTGTGCCAGATCGTGGAGCAAGCCAGCATGCCCTTCAAAAAGAACTTCCAGTGGAACCAGTTCATTGCTCGTTTGATCCGGCAGGGGAAACAGCTTGTGAATTGGCGTGACAACCTCCCACTAGCACATGTTTTTTCGGGGGAATACTTGCAGAAAAAGACGGACACCTGGGAGATGCTGTGGACTTCCTGCACTGGAGCCGATAATCAACCTAAGCTTTTCATACAGTCAAGGCCTTCTGGAAGCGATGTTATTGTTGTTGCTGTTAATGAGGAGGCCATATTGTCATCCGGTGATGCGGGTGTGTTTTTGCAAAAGCCGAAGCGCACTCGAAAAGCCGCAACTCTTGTAGAGGATTGTGAGGATGGAAAGAAGGTGGCCAAGCGTCGTAGGGTGGGGTCTGAATGTGACCGCTTTGCTGGGTCTGCAAACGGTGAATCTTTTGCTCCCCAGGAAGATCGCCGAGTCTCTTCTACTAGTGTCTCGACTCTAGTGGCAGAAGAACCATTGCCTAGCAATGCTGGACTTGTGGGGTTCCCTCCCATCTCCATCCACAATCCCGATATCTTTGCATCTCTCCCTGGCCCCTCGAACAGCCAGCCTGCCGGTACTTTTCATGGCATGCCATATGGACTGGTTTCAACCCCAGCAATTCTGCCTTTCAGCTACCCATTCATCCCTCACCAACACCATTTCCCACCTATGATGGGTATGGAGGTGCCAGGTATGTCTCCCAGTGTCCCGACAGCTGATCCACGACAATCGCAGACTTTCTTCAACTTTAATCATACGAACACATAAGCTTCTTATAATCATTCCATTTGTACAATATTTTTGCAAGCTTTCCCCTCGTGCTAACGTTTATCTCATTATCTTAATGTCATCGCTTCATTTGTATATACGATTGCACTCATACTCCATATCATGCTAATGGTTGTCTTGATACCATTTGTACATACTCTCACAAGTCTTCATCGCAATGCTACTCTGTTTGCGCAATCTCATTTCCGTTCAATATCGCAGTACCACTCCGCACAGACTGTAAGTAGGGGCAGCGGCCGCTGAAGTTAATTCGCACGCTTGTATATACAAGTGGATATACAACAGTATATACAGGCCGGGTTTGGCCTATTAGGGGCCAATGAAAGTTATACAAATAATCCACCTAACGAGGCTTCACCCACTGGGTGTCCAAGGTGGTTAAGTTTCAGTCCAATGTCCGTTCATCAGCTAGGCCCTCACATCGAATTCGGCAGCTTCTTTGATCGCTTCGCCATCGGTCATCGAAGGTCTGTGGAAGTGTAATTCGGGTCCCCTAGAATCATCTGCCGGCCAGCTGGCTTGCCTTGAGGAAGTCGCATGGCTGACAAAGTGCTGAACGGGATGTGCCCCAGTCCACAGTATAAAGCTTATACCCAACCGGTATCTGGTGTGCTTGAACGTGTGCCCGCGCTCGATCTGATGGCAACTGCTCCTATCACCCTTCTTCTTCTTGCCCACAGTGTTGGTTCAGCACCTATCTCCCCTCACAATACGACTAGTTTCCTGCAAAATGTATCTGATAGTTGCAATGATCTCCGGAATTGCCGAACGATGTGGGGTATCGTGTATAGCTGTCTCCTTACCGTCTTTGCTTGCATTTGGACGGCAGTGCACCCAAATCCACCAAAGCATCACTGTAAGAAAACGACCTTCGGATCCTGCTAACCCATTCAATCACGACCATTTTTTAATTTTAATTCAGTTCAAAACTTTCGTGATGAAGTTAGGGCCTTTTTGTATGATCGTGGCACCTGGTTCAAGGCGTGGTTTGAATCACGCACTGGCTTGATGTCGATTTCGCTGGTTTCACTGGAGGCCATTCTGGCACTCGCATGGGGCGATTTCTTGTTGTCTTGGAGGATATCCAAGAAATGCAAGATGGTCGAAGGTGTGTCCTTAAATTTGAGAGGAATATGTTAGGAAGGGACAAGGCACTGACTTGTCTTAGTCACAAGGGTGGACCTTTGTGCATTCACACTTTGTTGTCATGGATGGTTTCTTCGACCCATCGAAAGGAGAAGCAGTGGGCCCGAATCACTTGCAGCGGTACCCCGGCATAATTGAGGAGACAGGGAATACTAGGAAGGCCGCAATAACAAAAAAGCAAATTCTCGACAGAAGCAAAGGCGATGCGTTTTCCAAATTTCTCATTGTCCTTCAACTGCTATGGTTTATCACTCAATATCTCGGACGATGGGCAGGCCATTTGCAAAGATCGCAACTCGAGACGATGACGCTGGCGTATGCGGCGTTAAGCCTCTTTGTCTATGTGTTGTGGTGGCATAAACCCGTTAACATTCAATTCCCAATCCATGTGACGGAAGAAGAGTCCCCTTCCGTTCCTCCGACTTCCAAGACAAATGTCGATCAACCAACACCTAAAACGGAGATGGATGCAGATCCGATGTCCCTCGTGGAGGTGTCTGATCCCGAGGTGTTGGAATTATTGTTCGTATTGGCAGCCACTGGGATGATCTTTGGGGAATTCATTGCTTGGCATGGTCATTTCCCTTTCCGACACACAAGGAGATGATTCTATGGCGGGTTTCAGCAATATATATCACAGTAGCCCCTGCCTTTCTATTTTTGATCGTATGCGTTGCAGAGGTCGCATGGGTTGGGGATCTTGTCACATGGGTTGTCGCATGGGTTAGGGATGTCGCATGGGTTAGGGGTCTTGTTGCATGGGTTGGGGATATTGTCGCACAGGTTGTCGCCTGGGTTGAGGATCGTGTTAATGAGGCTATTCTTGGTCGTATAGCAGTACTTATAGTAGCACTTCCTGCACTTGTTTACGCTGCTGTGCGGGTCATCCTGGTTGTTCTCACCTTCAGTTCTTTGCGTTCACCCCTGCCTAGTCTATACCAGACCCCATCTTGGTCATCGTTTCTCCCGCATTTTGGGTAGTTGTGTATGTACCGTGCTTCTAGTTAAAATTGTAATTAATTACACGACAACCCAATTTTACCTCTTCCAACGTTTCTTTCCTCATTGCATGTTTGATGGCAATCCTACTTATGTTTGTTGAATTCGTTAAAGATGCCAGCAATTATGCATGCTGCTGTTAATGTGACTGGCTCGCTGATGGGACCGTATTTTGAGTGACACCAAATTAACCAACTTAACACGACTCCAAGCAGTGCATCAGCATAGTGATTCGCATCCATACCTGTGCTGCCGAGACTCTTCCCTTGAGTGAGAGGTGGCTGGTGATGACTGATCCCCCAAGTTCTCCATCGAGATTCGGCATCAGGTAAGCAGCCTTGCATGGGGCTTTGCGATGCGAAACATTCTATGTTTGCTCCTGCCGATTGAGCACCGTGATGAATGTGCAGCCTAAATTTAAAAGTAAAAAGAATCCTGTCGATTAGAAAAAAAGGGGGGTCTGGGGGTCTGAGGTAAACATAATAACTACTCAGCACCCAAGTTTCATCCACCCATTGTTGAGGAAGGTCGGGGCAACGGTGTCAAACCTACACTGAGCACCGTGATGAACACAGCTTAATTTAAAAGCCAAAAATATCCTATCGACTAGGAAAAAAAAGGGGGGCTGAGCTGAGATAAGCACGATGGCTACTCGTTGCCCGACTCTTATCTCGTTCCACCCAGCCGCTGTTGAGAAAAGCGAGGGTGACTGGCATGTGAGCACCATGATGAACACACAACCTAATTAAAAAACCAAAAAAAGATCCTATCGATTAGAAAAAAAAAAGAAAGAGGGGTCGAGACGTATATGAGAACTACTCACCGCCTGACGTTCATCCCATTCCACCCAGCCATTGCTGAGAAAAATGAGGGCGACCATGTTAAACCTATATCTATAAAAACATAAATTATCAGTGAAATAAATATCTGAAGAATAAAAAAATACAAACCCCTCCCAACAAACTACAAGTCTCTAGCTCATCTGGTTGCAGAGATATAACGAGTTCTTGGTCGGACTTGATTTCGAGCGATTGTCCGAATCAAATCACGTGGACATCAATATGGAAAACGGCTCTATTGCGCACACAGGGGACGAGCTAGAACCCGAGGATCGCTGACACCCGAAGATACCAATCAGACACCATACCACAATGCTTAGATTATCCCCTCATGTACGCTACGGTGTCAAGACGGGATAGCCGCACTGCCACGTCATCACGAGGCCGCGGGGTAATAAGAGAGATTTATCATCATCATCATCACAGGGGACGAGCAAGTCTATATCAGCCATGCATCTGGTTGCTTAGTACTCCCTTAAGAGCGGCTGGTCACCTGCCTAGCACTCCCACAGTTCTGGGTTACTTTGCCGCTAGTGTTCACAAGAGAAATATGTATGAGTTCTAGGACTAAGCAAGGGTTTGCTGGTCTCGATGATTCGAACGCCACGAGGTGGCATCCGCCATCTGGCGAAGACTCGCGAGTTGCATTCAAGATAGCGCTTGGGTTTCCCGAGAAACCGATAAGGGGTGGATCGACTATTTCTGCCTCCATGCTGGTGCAAGTTCAACGCGCGCATCTGTTCGAGGTGAATGAGGAGATGATGTTTAATTTCCGGACTCGCGCGGTATGCTTTTCATAGCTTCTCTAGAAAAGCTTGACGGAGTTATATTGTATTCATTTGTACCCCTAACCGGGCTGGAATCTCTTGACGATCGGTGCTCCCACTGTCCAGCAGGTTGAGTTCCCACAGACATTCTGGGTCAGTCTTCCAGTTTATGGGTGGTAGAAATGACCGCTTCTTTAATGACATGTAGGCGATCCTCAAGTAAGTACTTACATCCTATGTTGCTCGGTTCTTACTTACCGTTTTGGGGCCCCTTCTACTGTGGTGCCCTCGCCCGCATGAATAGCCTGGCGAATTGCTCGGACGCGATGGGCGTAACGCTCACGAGCTAACTGTCCTATCGGATCATATTTCTATCACTTGTATGGTCTAGCGCTTCGTCAACACATCGTTGCTATTCCACCGTTGTCGTCCGGAGCCTCCGTCATACGCAGCGTGTGGCAGGGACGGTATGATGCTCAGGGGATCCGAGAGTTCTCATATGCTCAAGCCACGCACAGGATATGGAAGGTCTTTACATGGTTATGTATTCAGAGCTTATCGAAACTGACAATGCCATATTGATGAATAAACCCGATAAATAACTAGGATCCTCGCTACGCTCGATCCACATAAGACCTGAACAGCGCGTTGCAGTAAGCCTTTATGCATCCCACAACTAGTCGACGTCATCATGGAACGGGATTTACAAGGATGGCGCAAGAAGAATGGAGACGAATTTCTGACAAGTGGTCTAATGATTGAAATGTAGAGCATCGACCGGCTACTTACAAAACAGCTAGGAGACAAAGGGGGACGGGGGTAGGCAATGCAAGGGAAACAACAGCACAGGCGCACAAGAAAACAGACAAAGGTTATACTAGATAGTAAACAGCCAGACAAACAATTTAAGAACAAACCCGACCAAAACAGAAGGAAGGAAACCTAGTGCCACTAAGTAAACAAAGAACCTGCAGATGAAGATATGCAGCGGGCAAAAGAAACAAGCACCCGGCTCGAAGATGCAAGCGGCGGATGTACAGAATCAGTGGGTGCTAGCGGCGAGGACAGGCAGCGGTGGAAGGCAGGCAGTCTAGTTTTAGAAGAAATAAAGTTCAGTTCCGTTGTGATTCGACGCACCTGGCGGTGCTGCCACCTCAGCTCCCGAAGTTTGGGCCGGGGAGGTGGCATCATGGTCTTCCACCCAATAGCAGAAGCCAGGATAGATGGCAGAGAGAAACCTCTGCCAGCGCTCAACGCACCGACTGAGTCCATCACTTCTCATTCGATGGGCGACGCAGCGCTGCAACTTGTGCCTGAGGCATCAGTGTTAAGTGCTTGAGGTGCATGACGATTCGAGTCATTGGATTCCCTGGAGTGGCGATGATTTGTTGCTACCGGGGGTTTGCAGCAGTCCTTGGAGGTAACCCTGCTAGGGTTGAGAAATCTTGTCGGTTCGGAGATTGGTCTTGTGAGGATCCCATGGGCCTCATGAAAGAAGTATTGGCGCCCGCCCCTGGAGTCGGTGCAGATGGGATCTGTTGCGCAGAACCCATCGGATGTTAGAGGAATTGACCTTGACCCGGTCCTCAGGTATTCATCGGCATGTTAGGTCGAGGCGGACGGAGTGAACGCGATGGGTGCCCGAGGTTGGGCACCATACGGTCCAGTAAAAATAGAATACCCTGGTGGATGTAATGGAGCTGCCTACGCGATCCAAAGAGAGGGTTCCATCGTTGACGTTTTAGGTCAGGTCTAGGAGCGTCCTGATTGCTATCTGGATCATATTGACCTTACGGAGACCCAGGTCTTTTGCACCCGCCTGGACATGCGGGATAATAGCACTGGGAGGCTGAGGCGGACGGGACCCCGAGGAAGTCGTTGGACTCCCAGTAGTCGGAGCCACAAACGAAGGGGTCGCCCCAAAGGGCGAGGTGTGACCTTCTGCATCCCAAGGCTCACTCTGAGCATCCTATCGGTTGAAAATCGGCGAGTCGGGCCAATAAGTCAATGCTATTGTTAAGACGATTTGCAAACCACTTTACATGGGATCTCTCTTGACAGCTAGACCGAATGTACCCACCATCATCTCCCAAGACATCCTGCACCTTGTAGCCCTAACCCAGGCCGATTAGGTGGCGCAAACACGCCACCTGGGCCCGAACCATACATAGGGCATGGTGCAGGTTGCGCACTTTACAGTTGTGAGTGAGGATGTGACGAGACGGCGTCGGGGCCCGGACCTGGTTGCGCCATAGCAATGTTTGATTAGATGCGGGTGTGGTTGATGCGCAACGGGGGGATGAGCCGGGATCATCTGGGCCGTCGAGACTTGCTGGAGCGGTCGAGGCGTCGGCGCTTGTGCTTGAATCACTCCATATGGCTGAGGATCTTGCCGTGGTGGCTGCTGGGGCTGAAGTAGTTGACCGGGTTGCCGGACGAGACTTGAAGCAAATATCGATGTCGCATTCAGGTTTGATTAGAAGTAGGATCGAGGGGTTGCTTGCTGGGGGTGTTGAGAGCAGTTGGGATGGTCGCTTTGTGGTGGAAAGTGGTTCGCTGCAGGGATCCGGTGTGGAGTTCCAAGTTCTTCCATGCATCCCTGCGCGCTTGGGCACCATTATCGAGTGGCTGACGGTTCGGATCAAGGCCCACACCTCGTATAGGGAACCCGAATGAATCTGACTTGAGCCTGGATTTGTGGAATCATTACGCTATGTTCTGGTCCTGAAAGGAGGCACTGACTCAATAAGTTCAGCAGCGAACTCAGGGCGAGATTTGAAACACGGAAAAATGTACTTCTCGAGAAAACCAATGCACTCGGGGGGTCCTTGCTGATGGCTGAAGAACGCTGGAGCGCATTTGACATCCATTTGCATGGGATCTGGCCGGTGAGGACCTGAAATGGTATATCGATACTTGGGTGGATATTTCCGAGATTGAATTTCACCCCCGCAGCTGTACATCCAAAGGCCCAAATATCACTGCCTTCATTTAATCTAGTTATGATGGCTTCCACCAGTTCTGGGGCAGCGTACCTAAGGTACTCATCACGCTCGATGATTCAGCAGGCGTTGTGAGGATGGAGGAAAGCCCGAAATCGCACAATTGTGCCGCTCCCAGGACAGTATATTCCCCTATTACGATCATCGGTAGAATAAAGGGCAAAATTGGAGTTAAACGTACTGGTTTAAAGTCGATACGCCAATCCTTGACATGCTCTCCGGATCTAAGTGAGGAAGTCATTAACGGCAGAGTTTGGAGTTGAAAAACTCGCAACCAACTGACAAGTCCCCAAGTGGAATACGGCGCAAGAAATCCTTCACATTCCCACCTTCAGCCCACTCCGATATCAAGCTTACACATAATATATCGTCAATAACGCGCTGTAGCGTCCGGCCAAGAAATGATATAGCATTGTTGTGCTGCAAGTTATGCCAAACTTTTGCGTCTCGTCCGAATCACTGAAAGAAGAGAGGTTGCAACCCAGGAAAAGGAAAGGAACGGAGACGATACGAACCCGAATAAACTTCCCAAGCCAGTCTGTGCTGATAACAGGGACTTTATTTAAGCAGGCGTTCTGAAAGCAAAGGAAAAGCTAGGGATCACATCAGCGGGTGCTACCGTTCTTCGAGAGAGCAAACACATGGAATTACGATATTCACCCGAATACACATCACCAAAGCCCCCAGCCCCTCCCTACAGTTAAGATTAAGATCAACATTGACCAAGCTTGTAAGATTGCACAAATCTACAGCAGTCAGTTGTTCGGGAAGTACGGTTTCCACCTCTTGAGATGCATCCGAAGTGAACATCAGCAACGAACCAAAAATGCAGTGATGCTTGTGCTGAATGTTCTTGGGCACGAACGAACTTGAGGGGTGTACCGTTCAATTTCGGTGCTGCCAATCGCCTGTGTGAACAGTGTCGGTAGGTTCAGCCGACTGATTTCACTTTGTTTATTCCACTTCGCGCTTCCGCTGCTTCGGTGACTATTCAGTACTTGGCGACCATTCAATTCTAGTGCCTGAGGCTTTGAATGATAGGTGGTGTTGATTCCCCGTTCAGGTAAGCACATCCATACCCCATCCGGGCCATCACCAGTACATCACACGGCCACATGAGGTCCCATCAAACGGCACAATCCCGGCTGAGCCAAAGAACCTATCTATCCTGATATAGCTATATGAAAGTCCGACATTTCCCGAGCTTCAGGCATAGTATTTCACTGATCATGTATTTCACACCCCAATGTCCGAGTCCGTTCTTCGGCTCCACACTGAATTTGATGCTTCGCCATCAGATCTGTGGATATGTGATTCGGAATGCCAAGAAATTATCGACCAACTTGATCGCATGGCTGATAAGTTACAGCGCTGAACATAGGGATGTGCCCCTGTCCACAGTGTAAAGCCTTCACTCAACCTGTAGCTAGTCGGTGTGCTCGTACCTGCGCTTGACCGGATCTGATGGCAACTGCTCTTATCAACATCCTTCTTTCCCACAGTGTTTATTCAGCACCTATTTCCCCCCACCATACAACTGGTTTCGTGCAAAATGTATCCGATGATTGCAACGACCTCCGGAAGTGCCGAACGATGTGGGGCATCGTCTATAGCTGCCTCCTTACCATCTTTGCTTGCATTTGGACGGTGGTGCACCCAGATCTACCAAGGCGCGGTGGTGGTAGCTGGTCGCGCGTTGGCTTGATGATGATTTCACTGGTTTCACCGGAGGCCATTCTGGCATTTGCGTGTCATCAATCCTTGTTGTCTTGGAGAATATCCAAAAAATGCAAGATGGTCGAAGGTGTGTCCCAAATTTGCACAAGTTAGGAAGGGACGAGGCAATGACTTGTACTTGTCACAAGGGTGGACTTCGACGCATTCATACTTTGTTGTCATGGATGGTTTCTTCGACTCGTCAAAAGGAAGAGCAGTGGACCTGAACGACTTGCAGGGATACCCTGGGATAATTGAGAAGACAGGGAATACCAGAAAGGCCGCAATAACAAAGAAGGAAATTCTTGACAGAAGCAAAGGCGACGGGTTTTGCAAATTTCTCATTGTCCTTCAACTGCTATGGTTCATCACTCAATATGTTGGACGATGGGCGGGCCATTTGCACAGATCGCAACTCGAGACAATGACACTTGCGTATGCAGCATTAAATGTCTTTGTTTATGCGTTGTGGTGGCATAAACCCGTTAACATTCAATTCCCAATCCATGTAACGCAAGAGTTCGCCCCTCCGACCTCCGAGACAAATGTCGGCCAGCCAACACTCAAAACGGAGACTGGCGCAGATCCGATGTCCCTCGTGCAGGTGTCTAAGCCCGAGTTTATGGAACTCTTGTTCATATTTGCAGCCACTGGGACGATCTTTGGGGGAATCCATTGCCTTGGATGGTCGTTTCCCTTTCCGACACGCAGGGAGATGATCCTATGGCGGGTTTCAGCGATATCTATCACAGTGGCTCCAATCTTTCTATTTTTGTTCGTGTGGTTTGCGAATCATGCTAATGAGCTGATTGGTAGCGGTATAGTAGCATTTATTCCCTTTGTTTACGCTGTTGCACGGGTCATCCTGGTTGTTCTCACCTTCAGTTCTTTGCGTTCACCTCCGCCTGATCTATACCAGACCCCGTCTTGGTCGTCATTCCTCCCGCATTTTGGGTAGCTAGCTGTATGTACTACCGTGCTTCAGGTTTAAATTGTGGTTTATCACAGGGCAGCCTGATACTGACGAAGATACATGACCCAGTTCCATTATCACAAGTTACGCATAAACAAACACCATTCTTCGCCTCACCGCGCTAGAAATTCGGCAAGTAGTAGGGGGACTTCTGAATTTTGTGTCACATCATCAAATCAGGGGTGCAACCACCTTGTTCTCGACGAGTCCGCAAGGTGCATATATTGAACATCATACACCTCTGCACCCTTTCATTTTTGAGGTCTTTTCGGGTACAAGTAAAAGCACTTCAACGGCTTCGACACCTTTGGTCCTAGCCAAGGCGTGTGGAGAGCGACCGGTAATATATCATGCAAGATAAAATCCATTCGGATTGTTGATAATCCATTTGATGACATTGTGAGAGAGGAGGTGCAAAAGGAGCGGGAGGCAGCAAGGCGGAAGAGCGCAAAAAGTCGATCTATTCTGTACTCTGGATGGACTCATTTGATCATCATTCTTGCAACTATGTCTTGCAATGTAGAGGCGCAAAGCTGCTTTCATTCGGAGACGCAGTTGAAGAGGAAGAATACACGCCAATAAAGGGGAAGTCCATCAGTCGTCCGGATCGTGCGTCATTAGTCCCCGGATCTACACACGTTCCCACTCTTATATTTTGTTTACCGTATAGTAATTGATGACCCAGAGCTTAGAGCAGCAACTGCTCAACCAACAATACCTGAAGTTCCATACCAGAAGAAGGTTCGAGGTTCAGGCCCTCAAGACATCGAAGCGTCGTCATCTCATGACCCACACCGAAGTATTCATCCAATACCGGTAAGGTCCATATAATCATCAGCAAGGCAAGATCTAGAGGTCATCTGTAAATGATAAGCAGATGGAAATCAGGTTCGAGTAAAGTGATGACTCTGGCCGAATCACTGGGTCGATGGTTGTGTTGATTGTCGGGCACGTGTAGGTTGTCGCCACCGGAGGAAGGGGGCGCAGGCGTTGAAAGCTTTTGTCCGTCCAGATTCTTGATTATGGGTGAAGGCGCAATGACTGTGCTCGATTCACTTTGTGGTTTCAGGGGGATGGAAGGCTTAGGAATCACCCAGGGTCAGCAAGAATGATTAGCTAAACGAAAGCGACCACGGCGTACCATTAGTTTGTCTTTCTCCTTCCCTTTCCCCTTCGACGCACCCGAGGAGTATCCGGAGTTCCTCGTGTGTGAGAAGGCAGCGTCATTAACTTCTACCCAATAGCAGACATTGACAAAGAGAACATGCCTCTGCCAATCGTCTCGCCAACCCTCAGCTCCCAGTCCACAGGCTCCCCAGCGTTGCAGCTTGCGCAGGGGTGGTCAGTGTCAAGCCCTTGAGGCGCTTGACGATTCGGGCCATTCGCTAGCAGTGGGTCTTCCAGAGTGGACCGATTGTTGCTGCTGCAGTACCTGTGGATGGCCTTGTTGGAGCTAGGAGGGATTTCGCTGGTTTGGAAGTTGATTTTGTGGGTGTGCTGAGGGCGATGCGTTAGCGCTCACTCCTGGAGTCGGAGCAGACGAGGTTATTCTCCAGGATTTGCCGTGACCCGATCCTCCCGTACCCATCGACATGTTGTCGCGACGCCGGGCATGTGGGGTGGATGCCGTGCCGTAGGGTGCAGTATAGTTAGAGTATCGTGGAGCATGTTGACCCGACGATTGTCTCCGTGCCCAGGGAATGTCCAGAACGCTGTCCAGGTGAATTCACACATCACGGACTGACCCGAAGAACTCTCCCTCGAAAAGGATTCCCATTTCGTTGTACAACGCTTGAACCGAATCTCCGAAGCTGCGCTTACGACAATAGTCAATCATGTGGATATCGTGTGGATATTCAATCTATAGCATCCGGTGCCAGAGTAATTGCCATGAACCGAAACTAGTACGAGCATGGAAACGTTCTCTCTGTCACCGTCCTAGTGGGAGGGAATTGTGGTGACTCCAGAAGGGGGCGGACACGGCAATCCACAAACTCGACCTGATAGTCGTTGTGATGGCAAAAGTAAACAGCGAGGATTGAAGCAGAGCCATGTTGTATGAAGGAGCAATAGATGGCCAGAGTCGAAGGAAAGGTTGTCGATGGCATTGCCGATGTAAAGAAGTACGGCCAAGATGATGGTATACGAAGCTATTTAGAACAACTAGGATTGGCGCGGTGTGGAACTCCCAGTACAGCCCAGAGTGGCCGGGGTTCTGAAAGTCGGTGGATAAAAACATGATATGAAGGATGTGTCAGACGCCGACAGGACTGCACTGCAATTTGGAGGCTGTGTTAGCGCCTACCGTACTGAACCAAACGTAGTGAATGGAAATACTACGCACGTTCATTAATTTCCAAGAACAAGGACCTTGCACGGCTGATAAAGCGCTGAACATGGGAATGTGCCCCAGTCCAGAGTATAAAGCTCATCTCGACCTGTATTTGGTGTAAACCTGCGTTCGACCGGATCCGATGGCAACCGCTTTAGTTATCAACTTGCTTCTCGCCCCCAATGTTTATTCAGCGCCCATCCCCCCTCCGAATGTGACTTATTTCGTGCAAAATGTATCTGATGGTTGCAACGATCTCCGGAATTGCCGAACGATGTGGGGCATCGTGTATAGCTGTCTCCTTGCCATCTTTGCTTGCGTTTGGACGGCAGCGCACCCAAATGTACCAGGGCCCAATGATAGTATCTGGGCGTTCAAGTCGCCCACGTTTAAGTCGCGCTTTACCATGGTGATGGGTTCACTGCTTTCACCGGAGGTTATTCTGGCGCTCGCATGGCGCCAATTCTTGTTGTCTTGGAGAATATCCAAAAAATGCAAGATGGTTGAAGGTGTGTCCTGAGTTTGAGAGGAAATACACAAGTCTTAGTTAGGAGGGGACGAGGTACTGACTTGTACTTGTCATAAGGGTGGACCCTGACGCATTCATACTTTGTCGTCATGGATGGTTTCCGAGTCGACCCGGTACTAGAATTGCCGGTGGACCTAAATGACTTGCAGAAATATCCTGCCATAATCGAGAAGACGGGGAATACTAGGAAGGCCGCAATAACAAAGAAACAAATTCTTGACAGAAGCAAAGGGGACCCATTTTCCAAATTTATCATTGTCGTTCAGCTGCTATGGTTTATCACTCAATACGTCGGACGGTGGGCAAGCCATTTACAAAGATCGCAACTGGAGACAATGACGCTCGCGTACGCGGCATTATGCGTCTTTCTTTATGTGTTGTGGTGGCATAAACCCGTTAACATTCAATTCCCAATCCATGTGATGGAAGAGTCCCCTTCCGTTCCTCCGACTTCCGAGACAAATGTCGATCAACCGACACCTAAAACGGAGACTGATGCAGATCCGATGTCCGTGCAAGTGTCTGAGCCCAAGGATATGGAAGTCATGTCGATGTTTATAGTCACTGGAATGATCTTTGGGGGAATCCATTGCCTTGCATGGTCATTCCCCTTTCCGACCCACACGGAGATGATTTTATGGCGAGTTTCAGCAATATATATTACAGTCGCTCCTGTCTTTATAACGTTGGCCGGATGGCTTAGTGATCATGTTGATGATGATTTGGGTATGATGATAATGGTACTTCTTTTACTTGTTTATGCCGTTGCGCGGGTCATCCTCCTTGTTCTCACCCTCAGTTCTTTGCGTTCACCTCCGCCTAGTCTATACCAAACCCCGTCTTGGTCATCATTCCTCCCGCACTTTGGATAGCTGTGTATGTACCGCGCTTCTGGTGTTTTATGTACTGCGGGATAGCCCATGTTTACAATTGGACATGACTCACCATGAGCGCGGTTGCGTTAATTAAGATTCAAATTCATGACATCACAAGTCACATAGTGATTCACTTGGCATCCGGCATCCCTGCACTGCCGAGGTCCTTGGATGGCTGCAAAGAGACCATCTCCGACCGCTCGAACCAATTCCCCCTAGGCCACTCAGATACAAGCCATTCCCTCGGATCTCACCATGCCTGGGAAGCCTGCCCCTCGCATGAATAATATTGTTGGCAAAAATACCCAGATGGTGCAACAAGGCAGGCCAAATGCCGGCCTTACCGGGTTCGTGCTTCTCATCTTTTACCGTTTGTGTAGTTGACTGTTTGATTCCAGGTGTATTAGGTTATTCGCAAGCGTGGGGTTTTTGATTCAAGTGTGCAAACGAGGATTTGGTCAATCTGAATCTACTCGCCCTTTATGTCCAGGTAAAGACCAAAGCACAGTAACCGTCATCTTTTTTTCCGTGATAACCCAGTATCCAACAGAGGTGACCTTTTCCGTTTTCGTCCCTGCCTTTCCTCTCGAACTTCTCTCACCAAGGTTTGAGGACCAATAACTGTATCATCATGTTGGATACAACTCACCTCCGTTTCTAGCCAGATAATTCACAAAGTTGCCTATCTGACCGGCAACGGACATTTCGGTTGCAATACCAGCGAAGTCAGGATTGTTGTGAAAATAGCGTATAAAAGGCGGTTGCTCTGCGAGTGAACGCGGGGCTGACCCGCCAGGGCTGATGGTGCTGATAGTGGGGTTGACGGTAGTGGATGAGTCCGGCGTGCCTGGCGTGGGAGACACCAATGTATGCGAGGGTGTGATCGACAATTGGGTGGGTAATGCGGGTCGCTGTATGTCATCTGTCGTTGGATATGGCCCAATACCAATATTTGTGCCACCCTGGGCACCCAGCGGGTTCGACGCGGAACCATAAGATAAGTTGAAATAGTCAGATAAGTGGTAATCATAATTCATACCATTGGCTCTTCCTTCTGTTCTCTCTCCTTAGATGCACCTGGCAGTGAGAATTCCAAAGTTTCTGGAGGCCACGCCGCTCTGTTCTGACGCGTAACGAAAGGGGATTGGAACGCTACCCTTCCACCGGTTGTACTCATCGACCCGCTAATCCTCAGCTCCCCAATTGGTAGGCTGGTCAGTGTTTCCCCTCGCTGCACTAACTCGAGCAGATGGTTGAGCTTAGCAGCGCTGGGTCGTAGCTCAGGGCGAGGTTCGAAACATGCCAAAAGGCACCCCTCAAAGGAACCGACATTGCTCCATTCATACGGAGGGCCCTTGGAGATGGCCGAAGAAAGCTGGAATGGGCCTGATACCCACTTATACGGGATCTGGTCGGTGACGATCTGAACCACAAATCAGTCCTTGGGCTCATATCCCCGAGCACAACCCTCACCTCTGCAGCTGTACACCCAAAAGCCCAAACATCACTGAGTTCATTTCGCCCGGTGATAATGGCCTCCACTAGTTCTGGGGAAGCGTACCTAGGAGTGCTCATCACGCTCGATGATTCGGCGTGCGTTGTAAAATCGTCGAGGATGGAGGAAAGCCCGAAATCGCATAATTGTGCATTACAATCCGCTCCCAGGACGAGTATATTCTCCTATTACGGTCATTGGTAGAATAAACCAGCACTAGAAACGAAATTATGGTTGAACGCACTGGTTTGATGTCTCCGTGGACTATACCGCATGAATGTAGATAAGCCAATCCTTGACATGCTCCCCGGATCTAACTGACTTAATTAGCGACGGAGTTTGGAGTTGAAAAATTCGCAACCAACTGACGAGATGAGTGCGGTCCCCGAGTGGATTACGGCGCAAGAAATCCTTCACGTTCCCACCTTCAGCCCACTCCGATATCAGGCTCACACGTAATTTATCGTCAACAACGCGCTGTAGCGTCCAGCCAAGAAATGCTATGATATTTCCGTGCCGCAAGTTGTGCCAAACCTTGACTTCTCGTCTGAGCCGCTGAAAGGAGAAAGGTTGTAGCCAAGGCAAAGGAGAGGGAGGGAAACGATACGAACCCGAATAAACTTCCCAAGCCAGTCTGTGCTGATAACAGGGACTTCTTTAAGCACCTTCACGCAGACGTTCTGAAAGCAAAAGTAAAAAGTGCGGATCACGTCAGCGGGCGCTAAAGTTGATCCCCGAAGAGAGAGCGAACGCACGGAATTATGATATTCACCCAAATATACGTCACCAAAACCCCCCCAGCCCCTCCTACAGTTGAGATCAAGATCGACGTTGACCAAACTTGTAAGGTTGCGTGGATCTACGGCAGATAGTTCTTCGAGAAGTACAGCCTCTACCTCTTGAGACGCATCCGGAGTGAACATCAGTATAATTATTGACACTCAGTGATGCTTGTGTTTAGTGCTCCAACGCGTTTTTGGGCACGAACGGACTTGAGGGGTGTACTATTCAATTTTGGCGCTCCCAATCACCTGTGTGAACGGCATCAAGGATGGTGAGTTCGCCAGTTGGCCGACGGATTATATCACTCCCATGAAAATACGCTTGTACTTTGGGCATCACTTGGACAAAATTAAAAGCGGACAAGTGTACCCGAATTGTGGACTTGTCTCACTTTATTATCGGGTATTTATTCCGAGGACTAAACATCCAACAAGACACCTAGCTACACTCCGAAACAAGACCTCATTCTTGGTGCCCTCTTTGTTTGGCCTTCCCATCGTAGGCGGGATCGAGAAAAGTGCTAGCCAGACCTGAATTATCACAAACTCCAGGGGAGAAAGTGATGCTGCAGGATGGTACCTTATCTCTATACGCTGATGCGGCTTTACTGGATTGTATGAGGGGTCTGTTTGACGTAAGGTCGATGTTAAGTGCGAGGGTATGACTATGTGCCTCAATGGGCCGTCAAATCGATATGGGCCACCATGTTCTCGGTGAAGCATTTATAGCAGCACAAGGCGCATCGTCTGTTGTATCAGATCCATGAGGACTTCGTGTCCACCTCTCCTCTCGTATCTCGTATAAGTTCGTATGTTGGCTTCGCTGTTCTACCTTTCTGTCGCTTTATGCGTGGGGCTTACGACCGTACAAATCCGTTCTGGGTGTGTTGTAAAAGCGGGGCCTCTGGTATAAATAACAGAAATTCAACCAATCTACTCGTTCCCCCATAGCAAAAGCACAGTAATCGTTATCTTCTTTTCCGCAATCCCCCAGCGTCCAATGAAAGTGATGTTTTCCGTTTCCGACGCTGTACTTTTCTCGCCAATGTTCGAGGGCCAATGACTGCTTGATCATTGTGGGTTACAACTCGCCTCCGTTTCCAGCCAGGAAATCCACACAGTTGTTTATCCGACCGACAACAGACATTTCGCTTGCAACACCACCAAAGTCCGGTTCGTCAAATATCAAAGTAAGGTGGTCTCCCCAAAGGGGCTGAACCGCTGGGCCTGATGATGCTGATAGTGACGCTGGCAGCAGTGGATAAATGGATAAGTGTCTCGTTTGACGTGCCTGCCGCGGGAGACACAAATGTATGCGAGATGGTGTCGGTCGACAATCGGATGGGTAACATGGGTCGCTATGGTCTGAATTATCGCAATAGCTACATTTGGGCTGTTGAATTTAAGGTTGACATGACTTGCACTCTGCAAAGGTGTCGTTGCTATTCCACCGTTGATGCCTGCTACATGCGACATGCGCAGCAGGGGGCAGTGAGGGGCTGTGGGATCTGGCAGTCCTCAGTTACTTAAGGCATGCAGGGGTTACCTTATGGCTAGGATTCGAAAACAAAATGTGCTTGTGCAAGCTCCGGGACTGCGCAGGGATCCGCTGGCCTTGGTGATTTGAAAGCTATGAGGCGACATCCGCTGACAAGGATTCCCTAGCGTATAGTACTAGCTGATCAGCTCACTCGAATAGTTCAGGAGACTGATACGGAGTGAATTCATTAACTTGGCTTCTACGCTGGTGCGTGTTCAACACGCGCGTCTGTGGTGTTTAATTTCCGAATTGCATGGTGCGCTTCTCACACTTCCTCGTTGCAGTTTGCCTTTCCAGTGCCCCACGGGGATTCCAACCAAGGTTCCCCCACTGCTGGAATGTTTCTCCTGGGAAATTAACCAAAGGCGGAATCAATTGTTTGCCGTGATATCAAAGTTGAATGCAAAAAAAAGCCCGCGCGCGTGGCGATTTGGACGAATGGGGCTGGTGATAACTCAAAATGGTAGCAAATCAGACCAAACTGAGCCTATGTAAAGTGAAAGTTGAATGAGGATACGCGCGGCCGCGCGGTATGATTTTCCCTGCTTGATTTCAGAAAAGCTGCAGGATCTACAGGACGGTCGATGCCTTCACTTGCGTGCTTACCTACTCGACGACTGCATAGGAACCATCACACGCCAACGTGTGAAAGTCCGGGAATGATTAGACATTTCCAGAACCGCATTTGTCCCCGGCCATACTGTATTAGCCCATTGAATCCACCGAGCGTCCCGTCACGGCAGTTAAGATCAAGTCCGATGTCCGTTTGATCATCAGCTAGGCACCTCACATTGAACTTGGCAGCTTCCCAGCCGTCATCAAGGATCTAATTCGGAATCCCTAGAATCATCTACCAGCTTGCCTTGAGGAAGTCGCATGGCTGATATAGCGCTTGAACATAGGGACATGCCCAGTCCACAGTATAAAGCTTTTACTCAACCTGTATTTGGTGTGCCTGTATCCGTCGTTCTTGCCTATGGTGTGTATGCAATGCCTATCCTCCCTCATAACACCACGAGTCTCTTGCCAGATATATCTAATGCTTGCAATGACCTACGCAATTGTCAAACTATGTGGAGTATCATCTATACCTGTCTGCTCATGATTATTGCGTGCGTTTGGACGGCCGTACACCCAGATATACCAAAGCCCGGCCATTCCCTGTTGCCTGGAGTGTCCCGTGGCCCCTTGATGATACTTTCACTGGTTGCACCGGAGGTGCTTCTGGGGGAGCGTTGGGAGATCTCCTGGACGCTCGGAGAATTAATATCAAAAGGATGCAGGATGATCGAAGGTGTGCCCTGAATTTGAGGAGAAATATACAAGACAAGAATCTGACTCAACTCACAAGGGTGGACGGCTACGCATTCATTCTTTGTCATCATGCATGGCTTCTTCGACCCATCCAGAGGAGCAGTGATTCCCAAGAGGAACGAAGATCCCTTGGACGTCCTCGGGCAATACCCTGGCATAATTGTGGAGTCTGGGAATGCTAGGAAGGCCGCAGTAACAAAGGAGGAAATTCTTGACAAAAGCAAAGGGGACTGGTTTACGAAATTTATCGTTATCCTTCAACTATTATGGTTTATCGTTCATTACATTGAACGATGGACAGGCAGTTTGCATCGGTCGCAACTCGAGACAATGACATTGGCATATGCGACACTAAGTGTCATCGATTACATATTGTGGTGGCATAAACCCACTCTGATCCAACTCCCGATCCGTGTGACGAAAGATTCCAGCTGTTCTGGTCCTCCGGATGTCAATGCCAATCAGCCAGCGCCCAGTGTGGAGAATGGGGCAGTTCTGAATCTCACTCTAGCGGAGGTCGTTGGATATGGCCCTGTTTGGGCTACACTGTGGGAAGTAAACTGTTGTAAAAAATCACAATACTTGTAGTTTTTAACCATTTACGGACGTTTTGGTGGTATTTTGAAGGAGGTAAATTACGACAGAATGCGCAGTGAAGTTAAATACCACAGTTGGAACGCTGTAAAATACAACTCAATCGATAGTCTCTTGAGTGCAACGAATTTTACATGAGTTGGGATGCACATTCGATACGTTCAGCTAGCCATCATCATCCACACTAAAAATTGGCCTCGCAAGCTCGCCGCTGCAGTCAATGATAGCCCAATGATGGTCAGAATTTGCCCCATAACAGAACCGGCCACAGACTGATGATACGGACGCAAGTGCAATGATTTGGGTGGTGTCAGAGAGCATAGTGAAGGAAGTGGGTGATAATGCCGTGTCCGAATAAGCGCCACTATCTGAAACTAGTCACTGGAACTGTGCTCGAAATTGTCGGAGTCGTGCTTGGGTGTTGGCTCAAGTGCATCAAGTATGTCCGGGCCAGAAAACTGGATATGCCGTCTACTTGAGAGGCCAACTGCATTACAGCAGGGACAAATTGCTGTTACAGGGGCATCCACCATCAGGTGTTGGGTGTAGAGCCAGTGGACACTTGGCGCTTAGGAGTTAGCTCGATCAAACAGCTTCTCAGCAGTTTCCGGTCCTTACTTCGTCCCTCATCTCCCTCAGCTGTCAACTCTCAAATCCCCTACACCTATCTCCAAGCTCCCACCTACCATCCTACAGTAATTCTTTTCTGAGGTAGCACTTAATAAGTGCTTATAGTTCTACCAGAACACCTGTACATGCCGCCAGCTGTACTCATGCCAATCCTCATGAAGGCTTTGCATTTGGACGTGTTTCCACGCGTCTTTACGTGTGACTTGCTGAGATGTGCCTTGCTAACAACAAGTTTGCTTTTATTTTATCCAGGGAATCATCATGACGCCAACAATAAGCAAGGTAACTCCCATCTCCCCAATCCTTTCCCTTTTTGATCCAAAGTGTCGTGAGAAATGCGCGAGGAAATCATATTTGTATGCTTAGTAAGTACTTTTTTGGGGGCAGGTCATCTGGGTATCGTCACGAAAACCGGCAGACGCTCCTATCAGCTCTTGAGTGCTCCTGAGCGATTAGAGCTATTAGAGCCCGGGAGAAAGGTACCCCCCTCTGGAGTGCTCCCGAGCATTGGTTTGCTCCTGAAGTGCTCTGGAGTGCTCCGGAGTGCTCTGGAGTACATATTATACTGGATCTCACCCACTCAGTTTATGCATTAAACATTCACGTTGCAGAAAGAAGAAATTGTAAATTCTTTAACTACATACAGGAAATGTAACTAATTGTCATATCTAAGTATCCAATGAACCACCTTCCTCCACCTCACACACTTCTGGCGGCTCCGTGTTGGTACCTACAATGAACTTCCTGTCAGATGATAAATATTGAATTACTGGAAAAACTCACAAGGCCGAGCAATGAGACGTTGGACCACTCCTTGCAGAATGGTAACAGTACTGAGTTATAGCTAAGCACAACCCATGAGACTGGGATCTAGAATTTGAGCACTTGATGATTCAAGGAGCCAACGTGACAAACAGACCAGGAGAACAATGTGGAGAGCACAGAGTAACTCAAGTGCCAGGCTTTCACATACAACCCAGACATGACTAAAATCTGACGCCACAACCCAGAGGACACTGTCACCCCAACCATACCAACTAGACAATCTTACCCTGTTGTTGTTGATATCAAATTTGTTACCCCGTGGTCGCGACATGACAGAGCAGCATATCCCACTACATTACAACAGTACATGAGGGGACTTTCACAGCATGGAGTGTCATCGGGTCAATCTTACCCTGTATTGATGAATCGTCCACTCAGATGGAACACACGGGGAAGCCGCACTGCCATGTACAAACATGGCTATGAGATCCAGTCAACACATAAGGTGAGCTCAATAGAGGTGGAGGGATCTATCCCTGCTGTGAAATCCGAGTTTTGAGTTCTATGTTCAAGAGACAACGCCTGTGTGCAGAGTGATGATGTGGTTGCAAAAGCCAGCCATGGCAGAGGAAGTGCAGTGCACCAAGTGTGCTATAGTTTTCCCAGACGCAGCCATGTGGCATAGAGACTAATGGTGGTGGTGTTATGGGAACATTTGAGGTTGGGAACGGCAGGATGGGGTGAAGTGCTGTGGCCCAACTGAAAATTTTCCTGACACGTGATTATACTTTTGTATCCGAGCCCATTGTAGCGGAGTTGGCCAAATCTATTTGTCTATTTGTCCATTGTAGCCGACAGTGGGTTTGCAGTCCACATTGTAAGAACTAGTGATGTTCCAAATGCCTCTTGGCTGGTGCTTGACAGCCGACTTTCAACTTGGGAAAGGGAGCCATGAAAGTCTTCAATGATACACCAGTGGCGAAATTAACGCCCCCAGACACCAGCAGTCAAAAATGAGGTGAAGAACTAGCATTAAACACTACAAATGCCTCTAGTGATTGACAGCCAAGTCTCAAAGTGTTTGAAGACCACAATACACCAGCGATGCACTTAATGCCTCCGGACATTAGCAGTCAAAGATGAGATAGGTAAGGTTGGATGTCACATGATGTGAAAAATCGCGTCCGGAATTACTTGGGATCACTCAGGAGCTGTGGGAGCTTTTGAGAGCTTGGGAGTATGCAACCAATCTCCAGAGCACTCCTGAGTGCTCTAGAGCCATACCGGTTTTCGTGACGATGTGCTCATTATCTACTGCAGAGAAGATGAATGAATCGTCAGAGCCAGACAACAGACTCGAAGCTGAGAGCTTGGAAGATAGGACAAACCCGACTGAAAATGACTCTGGAGATCAACCAGGTGAAAGTGATCAAAATCCCCCTTCGAACGATATTGTCACACTGCACACACGGATCCGCAAAGCGTGGGGGTGTTGTCTGGCCAAAACGTATGCATATCCTTTCTGATTTAATCTTCCCTCCTCTTTCTGTATCGTTGCCTCATTTCTATTCCAGGAGGTGATCAAAATGCTCAAAGGCAACTGGAATTTGATAGCAACAATGATAGTATCCAACCAGTCGGTAATTCAAAGCCAGCTTTGTCCATTGCAAAAACACGGACTCCCACAGCTGTTTCCATGGTGGCCCCTCAAACCAAGAAAGCCCAAACCTACCTCACTAATGAGCCTGGCCCATCCCAGAAGGAAGGCCCCGACCTATGTGCAAGGGATGAAATCCCTTCACTTATCAGTTTGTGCTCTATGCAATTTTACTCTCAAATCCGACTCACCCCGCACTTTGCTAGGTTGTGCTCCCCATGCTCGAAACACTTTGGTGCATTCTGTTGTGTTATTTCTTCGTCAGGCACTTGCTCACTGTGACAGCTCTTCTCTGCATCTTGCTCGTTGGTCTGATTCTGTCAGGGCACACCTGCCTGACCCGGCTCCACCTGGCCCAACCTGACCCGGTACCCCGCTGTCCACCCTTCCCTACCTCCTCCCCCTTCCCCTTTTTTCCCTCTTTATTCTTCCTTCCTCACCTTCTCCCTATCTTACTTCTTCTTTATTCTCTCTTTATTCCACACGGATGACCTTCTTTGTACCAATGTACCATTGACCCATCTGCAGTGTGCCCACCATGTACCCGGCCTGGGCACCTTGGGCGACCTCCTGCTGTGCCCAGTACGCATGCCTGCACCGGATGCCCTCGGGATCTGTCATATCCCGGAATCCCGACCCCGCGCACTCCCACCACACCACACCTTCCTAACAACTTCACCATCCCCTACACCATGTCTCCCCACTCCCCAAGTCACCTTCCCTCCTGACTTTCTCAGCTCCGGTCTGGTTGTGGCACACCGATCCTTGGCCACTCCCATCCCGGAAGCTCGGTCCCGAGTCGGAACATTTGGAGACCCCGGATTTGCTCCGATATCCCGACGGACCTCCGACATCCCATGACATGCCCTTAAACCTCTCCTCCACCCATTTCATTTATTTGAGTCACCTAACATCCTTCGGATACGCAACTCCGCTTTCGGAGCTACCCGCATCCTTCGGTGATCTCCCTCACGTTATCACTTATTAGTCACCTTCTATTCTTAGCACGACTACCTTCTTCCTTTCATTCAGTCGGCTAACCCCCCTTTGTCCATTTGTCCTCCCCATTCATTTTCCGGCCTCCAACTCCGCCCTCCTTGGCCCGACACCTCGGTTCCCCGTTAAGATATCGTTCGGTACCTTTCGGTGTTTTCCCATTTGTCATTTCGGACTTTGACTAAGTCCTCCCCATTCTCCTTTATAAATACCTGTAGATTAGAACCTGTAGCTCCTCAGTTCTAATCTCGACTAAAATGCCACCCAAAGTCCCTCTGAGTGAATCCCGCTCCCGTTCTACAAGACACCTCAGACATAAGAAATACAAGGACTAACTGAGACATAACGGAGGCACAGCGCTCCCTCCGAGTCGCTGAGGCCGCGTCCTTCTTAGAGCCTCTTGTACCATCCAGCAGAACCGGGCTCCCTGAGAAGCTTCGGTTCACTACCGGAGCCCTCGGACCCCCCTCTAGTTGAGCCCTGCCTGCATTTGGACTCACGCATTTACCCCCTTTCCATCATGGGTTTTTGACAGGATCTCCCATGGAGACACCCGGGTGATTACGGCTGTGTGCGAGGGTGACATGGCACCCGTCATGTGATCTAAGCCGCATGTATATAAACAAACCTGAAGTGGAAACCAAAGAAGTAGCCTTCTTCTCAACTTTCCACTTCAGGTAAGTAGTACAATATTCCTCCTTTAATGACAATAACAACTTTCCACTTCAGTCTAAGTGGCCAGGGACCATTGTCCCGCATCGGGCCTGTCAGTATGCATGCCCGATCCGCCCCCCACCAGGCTCTCAGCCCCGGACGCTACACCCGGGCCCCCTCGACCCCAGACGAGTCCCTGACAGCAGAAGAAGGCTTCAACCTCATCTCCCCCGCCTCCCCTGCCTCCCCTGCCATGGTGACAGAAGAACAGTACGATGACCTCCTAGCCCGG